CTGTAAGTGGCGCTGCTGCCACCACAAAATACACCAAAAGCAGCGAAGAAGACCCCGGAGCATGGTTGCCATGGTTGCCATGGTTGCCCTTCTGTTTTTTCTCCGCGGTGGACGGCGTGTTCTCCTGCTGTATATCTCTCAGGTAGTCCACCAGCAGACGAAAAACACCCACCTCTCCGCCTCTTCCAAGGGACGAGGGAACCGTGCTGCAGAGTTACCGTTAACATTTTTTTTCGCCGGTCAACATGTCCGTTAAAGTTGAAATCTTCCGTACAAAATTAGAAAAGTGCCGGTCAGAGGTCTTCTTTGTTATTTATTGAGCTTTAAAACAAATTGATAACGATTCTATATAATAATAAAAAACGGAGCCTCTCTTTTCCTCCCCCTCTTCTGACAGACCAGCAGCAGATCTCTGAGCAGGAGACGTGGGGAGAGGGAGACGTGGGGAGAGGGAGACGTGGCTATTTCATAGTTATCAGAAAATTATCGTATAGAGCCGTTTGACCCCCCAGAGCGTTCCGTTTGCAGATCTATCCACCTTGGGACCCATTATCGTTTGCGGGATCGTTTTGTTACGGCCTCGTGTAAGCGAAAGGGCTATACGCTAGAGAAACTATGCGGATACAACCTGTTTCGTCCTCGTGTAAACGGGGTCTAAGGGGAGGGACATCTCTTGCGGTTGACCAATCACAGAGCCGGCCAGCTAAACAATCAGAGCAGACTGGGCTCTGGTTTCAGACAGAGGGTGAAAAGAGGTGCTGCAGCACAGGCAGTGTGAGAAAAATAAAGACTGGTTTAGGTATTTAAATTAAAGCATCACGTCACAGAGGCAAAAATACAAATATGAACATAACTTTTGCATAAGCATAACATGTTCTCTTTTAATATACATCATCTAAAATACCAAATTCTTCTGGTGGGCCATCATCCACAGCACTACACGGTTTTGCTTCCATTCAGTAACTCCTCTCTGCTTCTCCAAACTGGAGTCTTGCCCATTTCCATCTACTATTGATAAAACACTCACTCTACATAGTGTACCAGGACATTACATAATGCTATTTTAAAAAAATCTGAACTATCCCTAACAACAAATCCTTAGAGTCTTATTACAAACGTTGAACTGGATCCAACATTCAACAAACCACCAGAACACAGATTACTTCAAACCCTCTTGCTTTGGCAGCATGTTTCTTCATTACCCAAATCCAGGACCTTGGTGTTCTTACAAAACACATATTCATATTGAGCCAACAGTGAAGGTGAGTTACCAGGCTCGACAAAGTCCCCTAAATCCTATAAAATTGCTCGTCTACATGACAACCAGACCTTGAAGACCACTTGAAACCACTTGAGTGTAGTGTAAAGACAACCGCAGTGATGATGTTTATTGGGGCCTGAGTTGCCTTGTCAGCTCACTGAGACTCTGACTGAGCAGAGGGTCTTTACCCCCGTCTGTCACAGCGCTGCTCAAGCAGAGTGGGGAGTGCAGTGTGTGTGTCTGTGTGTCTATGAAGTGTGTAGTGAAAAAAGAGAGTAAGAAACTGGAGAGGGAGAGAGAGAGGGAGAGAGAAAGGACCGTGAGCTGTGAAGGCGAGCAGAAATAAGCTCTCACCGAAGACGGCAGGCCAGGGGGTTTCCGAATCTTCTTTGGCTGGGTTTCTACATACAGACAGAGAAAAAGGTGAAAGAGAAAAAAAAATAAGGACTTCGTAAAGACACATTTGCCAATGTTATGTCAGTTCAGGTACAGTGTCTGCAGTCTGTTTTCTGCAGAATGGAAAACAAAAAACACACCGGGGCGTGCGTGCGTGCGTATGCGTGCGTGCATCAGTCAATGTACATGAATGTTGCCGTGCATTCATCTGCAAAAAAAGCTTTGTTTATTTATTTATTTTTTCTCAGTTTACGAAGACAGAAATAAACCATTTGTAGAAAACTGAATACAGAAAATAAGCAAAGCACTTTGGGTCTAGCTAACTTAATTTCACATCTATGAAAGTGTTTAAGTGAAATGGGAAAGTGTTTTTATTTATTAATCCTTTAAGCCAATACTAAAGCAATAATTGCCTAATGTCTACACCTTTGTACCGATGTAATGCCATTATTTTCTGGTCTTTTTATCATTTGAAATGGTCAAAACAAGGTTTAACCTTTTGTTCTCAGAATTTGTAATATGTTAACCATTTCCTAACATATTAACTAACAAACACCAAACAAGTAATCAAGAAAACATGAATTGGAATGTGAAAAAAAAAGAGGGAAATATGTAGTTGCAGCACTGGGTTAATGAAAATAATGTATAAAGAAATGCCCAGCAACATGCACCATTCTTTATGTAGTGAACTTACCTATACCTGCGTCAGGCGGCCTTCTCCTGGGGTTGTTGGGGTACGACGGGTAAAACTGGGAGCCGGATTTCAGGCCAGAGGGGGACATGGCATCTGGGCTAGGCATCGCTATTTCGTTAGGATGAAAACCAGGCTAGAGGAAAAAAGAGAGCAAAAGGTAAAAAGGGTTTTACTAATAATACCTACAGGGGCGTGGGGTAACACGGCATAAACGGCTTCTATTCTTAGAAATGAAGACAGTTCATTCAAATCATTTAACATGAAAAGAGAAGTGAGAAAAGGGCTTCCTTTGCATGACGCATAACATGAAGTTAGCTCTAACGCATAACCTTACGGGGGTGAGAGAGAAGAGCTGAATGAAACATACCTGGCTTCCAAAGGGAGGGTAAGGTGGCCTCTCATTTTTACCTGTAAGATCAAAGTAAAGATGGTTTAAACATGATACAGATTTGAGGCAATGATGTGTGTGAAAAACAAATGAAAAGTAGCATCTTCTAAAGTACAAAAAGTCCAGGGATGCCCTCCCTTTTTCAGTACGCTCAGCTGTATGAAGCCGCCTGCCAGACAAAACCCTAGGGAAGGTTTCTGCTTCAGTGGCCTAACATCCCCAGCACTCAACGAATGAACACAGACACACACACACACACATGCATGTAGACACATACACATTCAGCCACCCAGAAAACAAGTACACACAACAGTCAAATCGGCTGTTATCAACATGATTATTTAAAAAACGGCAGTTTGACAACGCAACATGTCCTCTGTCACTGAGAATACAATGTATACACTAATACTAATAAATCAAGCTTTTAAATAAAATCAGAGTCACTTATAAAATATTATTCTGAAACATACCTGCAACCCCTGCACTGATGAACGGAGAGGAAAGGCCTTCATGCTCATTGTAGTGGGGACCTTCACCATAAACCTGTCGGAGCAATGGGAAAAGCACAACATTACTAACCTTAAAAAAAAGAACAATAAAAGTAAATAGAAAAAACAGTGCAACATCTCAAGGACCCAATCATGTGTCTCAGTGAAACTCTATGATATCTTCCCCAGTCAAACCAACTATGTTAGCTTTGTAAAGGGGGCACAATCTAAATCATTGACATTAGATTCTGCTTCTAATTAGTTAAATTGCTTGTAAAATAACTGCCATGAAAACAAACAAGTGATATTGGTTTCACAGAAAGACAAGAAATGTCATGACAGAGATCAAGGTGAGACAAAATAAGCATACCACAATTGACTCTTTACAGTAAGTTAATTTATTTAAACGGAAACTAAATCACGTGTGCAGTCAGTTCTCAGTAATGTGTGTGTGTGGGTGTGTGGACATTTATAAGAAAACGAAAGATAAAAAAAAACAGGAATTTGATATTAGAGTTATGAATAAATGTCTTTTTTGGCATAGATTGTGAAACAAGTGAACACAATGACAGGAGATGGGATGTTTTTATCTCAACTTTAGGGCCAAGCTATTTAGTTTGCACACCTACAGTATATTGCTTAGTGGTTACCCTCCTCCTACTTCTCTGTCTAACTAACAGGATCCATGCCAAACAAATCTGCATCAGCTTGGGGGATTCAAACCGACTTTCTTAATTATCAACTTGTGGTAATCAAAGCCTGCTGCATCTATTTCACCCCCTGTTTCTGTATTTACACAGAGTTGTGCCAAGACAGTTACAGCGGATGTGAAGCTGCAATTACCGGTGGGCTTCCACAGAGGTTCTGGGCTACTGGAGAGCTTGCCAATGCAGGATCCTGAGCCAAGGTTATTAGGTAGAGAGTAAAACTACCACTTCAAATCAAACATGGCACACGGTAGGAAAAAGTACTAAGCTGCTGTGGCGGTGGGGGGGGGGAGGAGAGGATGTGTGTGTTTGTTCATTTATGGCAGCGTGATTAACCAAACGTGTGTGACAAATATCATGGCATCTGGTGTTAATGCTTAGATCTCCAAACTTAAAATTGTGTGTGATTTAAGAGTGCGAGTGTGTGTTCAGATCTTACCCGTCCTTGGCTGAAAGAGGGGCTGTTCTGTTCTGCCGAGCCCCAAGACCCAGAGCCGCTGCGCTCGTCTATCGCTGCGAGAAGAGGACATCATGTTAGGATTGACAGGTAGGGAGACAAGCGAGTTAGTCAGAAGTAGAGATGAAAGACTGAAAAGACAGGTTAGATTAACGCTGTGAACGATTTTAGAAAAACCCATATGACAGCAAATAAATATTATCCCTTGTGTCACTGCGGTAACATTTATTTTTGAAATGCCCGGATGTTGGAGTCATATCAAGGGAGCCTGTCACTATGTCTAAACATTCAACGTCCCTAAGTGGTCACAATGGGCTTTCACAAGCCAGCAGAGAGCATCACTATTGATCAAAGATGCCGCTTACAAGATGCAATGTTACACCATTTTTGAGAAAAAAACACAAACATATGAAAGCTGCTCAGTGTACCCATTAGTGTTTTTACGGTCACTGAATAGCAGAAAATGAACCATTTAGATCCCTAATGTAATCAAAGAGGATAACATGTCATCTTAACTGCATTTGAATTCCCCTCTATCAAATTGACAAACATGAAATACGACAAACCCAATATGTGTAAAGCTAAAACATGAACCCACAATGTTTCAGGTAAAGAAAGGACCGATGTGTGGCACAAAGGAAAAACCTTGCCAAAAGACTGGTGGAGCAGAAAACTCCAAAATACCCCCATCATCCCCTTCTCCCTGTCTTATGCACTAATGCTATCCAGGCTCTCTGGAGACACAAGCCTTAATTGCATGCTGATTTGCATAATTGTGCATATTAATGCGGTTTCCTTATGAATATTCATATTTCCACTTTGATTTTTGCCTAATTAAAAAAATGTGTGTGAGAAAGCAGAAGAGAGCGAGCGGGTGGAAGGAGAAGGCAAGGAGAGAGAGAGAGGGAGGGAGGGAGGAAAAGCAGAGAGAGAGAGAGAGGGGTCTGGGTGAGATCAGCAGCCTGGCTGACGAGTGAGAATGAGTGATGAGACTAACAGAGCGGTGCAAGCACCTACACACACTGCGACAGCCGTGATCTATGGAGCTGATGCCAGTGGCATGGAGAATCAGACGAGCAGGGTGGAGAAGAGCGGACCTCAAAAGATCCGCCTCGCTCACCGTCACACCGGCCCCGCTGAAGGGCCACAGCACTAATAAAGAGAAGCACCACCGTCAAGCATGTCCAATGGCACAGGACGCTGGTGACGGGCTCGCCGCTAAATAAAGATGACAGACTTTGTGGGGAGAGGTTTCGGCCAAAGCTAGGCGCCAGGAGAGACTGAATGAGTGAGATACAAATCTATTTCAACAATGGGCAATAAAAACATCTTCGCTCAAACACTGTTGTTGTTCCACTTTAGCTGCACTTCCAAAATACAGCTAGACCTCAAGTATTGTCACAAGTACACAGGTAACACATACATCTACATCAGGGTGAAGAATAACCTGCACTGAGTAACAAAGAGAGTAACTTCTTATCCACAGTCGTTTTATATACAACACACATTCGCTTATAGAGCCTGCTTTTGGCCAGCGGGGGTGCAGGGGGGTAGAGCGAAAGCACGGCTGTGCAGGAGAAGTCTGACAACATTGTTTCACACTTGCTGGAGTAATTAACTCTGAGGCAATTAAAACAAGGTGGATAGCTGCTGAGGTGCCACTGACGCTCAGCCAGCCTAGGAGAGCCCCACTATGCCAGAGGAGACCTTTTTATTGGTGTTTTTAAAAACACAACACAAAAGGATATCAAATAATGCTGAATTAAAAAAGATACCAGCAAGCTTCCCATGCCATTTAACAACATCTATCAAATGCTACAAACAAGTTCCACACTGTTAACGCATCAGATGTAAGGACTTTTCAAGGACTTTCCAGGCCCAGTTTTACACAAATTCAAGGACCCAACCCAGCATCATTTGAGCCACACATCCATTTTAATGACTGTTACAACACTAACAATTTTCATATTAAAACGGCATGTTTTAAAGAAGAATATGAAAAAGGGAGATCCTTGAATGTGAAATGATATGCTTTACAGTGATGGCATTCCAAGTAGGATATAACATTATATGCATGTTCTTAATAAGAAATAGAAATAGCACTGCTGGGTACAAAGGAACACAAATCTGATGAAATAAGGATAAAAAAATAGCCCTGATTAGGCAGGTCTGTTTTTGCAGATGAATGCAGACTCTGAAAAGTGTCCATTGCAATGTTTTTAGGTCACAGGCAACGGGCTGGTTTGAAACAAAGTACTAAATATATTTTACTGGCCAAAATAATTGATGTAGGAGTACATCTCTGACCTACTTTGAATGGTACAAAACAAGTCTTGTTTGTACAATTCGACTTTCAAACGTGCTTACTGCTTGTATAAGAGCAACTTACCATGATTCAAATAAAGTGGACAGTGTGCATGGTTTTTAAAATCTATTAAATTTTATACATTTAAGGAAAGAAATCAAAACCTTTTGAAAGTTCTTACAAATATAAAAAAATCTTTCATATTTTTTATATTTAGTGAGGGAATAGAAATATAAGATTCATTAATGTCAGTTAATGCAAACCCCATCATCACAATCATTACTTTGTGTGATCAAACACTTACTGCCTGAAGTCATATTTACAGATTGGTTATGCTAATTGTGGGGAAAAGACACTTTATAAGATGTAAATGGATATTACCACTAAATAATTAATGTCTGCAAATAACTTGTCTGAAAGCAAAATCTTTATCCCCTTTTGCCATTGGATGTTTGGCTAAATCAAGGGTAAGTAGATATATGAAAATATAAAAAATATATGAAATTGAACTGATGATCAAACTGGGAAAATAAGACTAAAGAAATCCCTGATTTATCTACTAATAAGACATGGAAATAAGAAATAAGCAGGACATGGGGTTGGCAATAAAAACAACAGGTTCTCTGGACGTATATCACATCCATCCAGACTTTGGCAGGCTAGTGTGTGAATGTACTTCCAGAGAAAATCCCATGGCAAGACAAATACTTACACACCACCAGAAAAAATATTTGTTTTGTGCCACAAAGCTTTCACGCGGCTGCAGGCTCTGAAAACATCTAATTTAGTTGAAGAAGGAAGCCACTCTCCTTTGAGATTTTCCCCTTTTTGGAGGGCTTATATTTTCCCAAGTAAAACCCACCGAAGCAAAGTGAAACACATGACAATACTGCAGGAGTGTGCATCAGAAATCAAACCATGAGAGACCACATGTGTACATTCACAATGTTGTTTGTTGTGATCTAAGGGAAGCGAGCCTGTTTTGTCCCGTGAATGTGTGTGTGAATGTGTGTGCGTGTGTGTGACGGGGGTTGGAGACGTTGCCAGCAGCTGCAAAGGTGACAGAGGGGACGCCTGCCTGAAGGGTTGGCCGGCTCCTACCACACAAACCAACACACTCCAACTCCCCTACTTCTCAAACATCCTCCACACTTCTTGCCAATCCTCTCTTCTTTCCTTCACCCGACAAACCCTTCCCCACGCGCGCACACACACACACACACACAATAGCCACTGAGGAAGAGAGGAGGACGCCTAATGCAATTAGCACCCCTCTGAGCACTTTTGTGTTGATGAATAGAGGAGGTCTGGTGGGCCACTGGGCCGCTCGCTGCCGTTCCCGCGCTGCTGCCTGCCTGAATATACAAGCCCCGAGTGACGTCATGGACATTGTTCTTTATTGGTCATCATCTCTGTAATAAACAGGTTTCGTGGCTCCTAGCCATATTGATTTTTGAAAGAACAAGCTATCAGTTTGAGTTTAAATAAAGATGGTCATATGCAACTAAATGCAGCAATCACATTAAAAACTAAAATCATGTCAAAATCTATTTTCCTTCTAAGAACAACAGTTGGGCTGAACGATATAAGGAACGTTTGGGATAACATTATTGACATATATATATATATCCATACTGACATGACTTGCAATGATTAAAAAGGCTGCTCAATGTTGTCTTTAAGCTGCTTTTATTAAGTAAACTGTTAACATGCAACAAATGGTTATTTCACTTTTAAAAAATATGAAGGAAACCATTCGCAACATTTTAACTGCTATGTAACTGAATGCACAGAGCCCTAAAAAATGACATTAGTAAGTTTATTTTTATTCTTAAACTTTATTTAAAATGTGCATGTGCAATATCTCAATCATGATATGTTTATCACGCACTAGACCGGCAATATCCATATATCATTTAGCCCTAACTAAGAGTTTGTTCATATTTCTACTTTATCAAGGTTCTTTATTTGTCAAACGAACATAGCTAGTGTAGTTATGTGTCACAGGCTTCTCCAACAGTGCAACACAAAGTATTTAGGTTTCCTTTTCATATTCACATTCTTTATTTTATATATGTTTGTATATTGTAATATGACAAATCCACGAGAAACTAAGGTGCTTTAATCCACAGATGTTAGCATTTTGACTTAGAACTGCTGTTATTTGTTACATGCAGATCTCCCAAAGTGAAATGGGACAGCATGAAGTACTGCATTAAAATAGGTGTCAATGACCGAGGGTCACACTTTGGGACATGAGGAGGGGGGAAAGGAATTAACTCCTCACTGCTTAGTAATTGCCTGCTGTAATAGAAACAAACAGAAACCTGCCTTCGACAGGCTGATCCCTCTATTCACCGCGCTCTCTCTTCCACTCTGACCACTCACTGCATGCTGGGCCAGTTTAAGAGGCTGCGAGCGAGGGGTGAGGGACATTGTCTCGGACTCAAGCCATTTCCTGCAGATCAGTGGGGGTAAGAGCCCTGTGCCGTGTTGGGGGAGGAGTGTTTTACACTTCATGGTGGGGGAGTCGTTTCAAGTCCATAAGCCCCCTTTTTTGCCTTTGTTCCTCAGTGGCCAAGTTCTCACTCTGGGGAACACTGAGGAGTGTGACTCGATTTCACGCGCCAGGTTGGGAGGGTGACAGGGAACGAAAGTAACACGACTTACTAATAACATTCAGGAAGAGAGAAAGGCTTATTCAAAAGGCTCAGGTGCTTGAGGGGGTTACAGCTACTTCACACTTTTAAAATAGTGATACAAGGACTAGAGAAATGTGGGTGAAATCATGTTCAATTCAAACTTAAATATTGAAATCAAATCTGCACAGTTTTAATCCTTCGTAGAAGTCTGAATTGATCATTGTTCTGTTAAGATAAGAATCAAGAGACAACAACATAGACAGGCCAAAAGAAAACCGTAGCCTGTAACAACATTTGAATTTCTTCTAAAATGACTTACAATACACCCTCTTGTTACAAATGATTGAATAAACAAATACAAGCACAGGCAATTAGGAACACTATCTTTCTTAGAAAACCGTTTCAATGAAATCTGGTTTGTGCAATCTATTGATTAACCCAGATCATGTTAATGTTGTTTTTTGTAGAGCTTTAAGGACCATAAATCTAAATCAGCTCTATACCTACTGAGGCAGTGATCACAAAACGGAAACTGCCTGCATGCTAAATACCAAAAGAGTTTTGTGAGAAAATACTTTTTGGGGTTGATTTAGCGTCAACTTTAGATTTATTTTGCATATAATGTCAAGGATTTAAAATTAAACTCCGATATTGTTGCTTTGCCAAAAACACACATGCGACCACAGCCTTTGTTAGTTAGAGCCAAAGTATTTACATCCACAAAGTGATGGAAATGTAAACCAACATTTGCCAAGAAATAATGAGAACAGTTTTGAGCGCTTACCTGATCCACCGAACTGACTGCTGGCGAGCGTCATCGTCCTGTTCTTCCCATTGGCTACTGGAGGCGCGAACATCTACAAGACAAAAGAGGAAATAAAACGTAACTAACAAAGCAAAGGATGGCACACTTCACACATCCTATGTCATAAAGGACATCACATACACATGTTGTTGAGTTTGTGTGTTTTTTTTTTAATGGGAGACATAAATTACATAAAACAAGTTATTTGACCCTTGTTAAGACGACTTCTAGCGAGTAAAGCATGCTGATCAAATCTATGTAGTTACAAACATGCTTAGTCTTGAAAAACTCCACATTGGAAAAATTATTGATTTGCTATAAAAAAAATAAAGGAGTAAGTTTCCCCCAAAATGAGTATAGAGTATTTTTATATAAGTTGATCTGCAGCATCAACGTTAGTTTTTAGGCTGAAGGATTTTGTTTTTCAACGAGCCACTGTGGGTTTAACCATGAGGCTATGGTGTGGTTTCAATATCTTCTATGTGGCATCGTTCAGTGACGAAACTCTACTGTACAAACCTTTACTAAAAGTAGGACACCAAAACACAATCTGCCACCACCACATATGATATCTCTCTTTTCTGTGTAATGTTGTTGTCACAGTTTAGATCTACGTGGTCCAACAACCGATTTGGACACCATCTTTGTTTCCGTTACATTTTTGGTTGCTGATATCTCAAACATGTTTTTTAATTTTTTTTTTATTCCGTATCCAATCTAGCATGCATTTCCGTGACTAGCCAGCAGATAAACAAAGGAGGAAATTTGTTTGTACCATTTTCGACAGTTTCTCACCCAATTATCAATGTTGTATTTAAACGGAACATCTGCTGATACAAATTGGCAGCTGATCAATCTGTGCGTTTCTTACACAAACCCAACTGTCTAATGGGAACCTCCCACAAAGCCCCTTCACAACAAGGAGTGTTTTTCTTTCATGGGGTAAGGTTTCCTTTAAATACCGATGGGGTGGCAGAGAATAGGACATTTAACAAAGCAGACTGAATCATGCAAGTCACTATAATGAAGCTCCGTCAAAAAAACATGCACAAAAACATTTGTACTCTTCATAAAATGTCAACAATTCCTGCAATTGGATAAACAATTCTATATAAATTAACGGTACTGTCAAAATAAATCTCACGGGTCATTAGGTCTGCTGACAAATAATCATTATAGGTCAGTTTTAAATAACCTGCTGTGCTCTATACATTGTAAATGATCCAGATCTGACAATTTAGCTGGTTATTCAATGTTTTTTTTAAAAAGGAGAAAATGTAACGGCTCCATTGGGCCTAAGAGATGTTTATGTCGGCGTAGAGCTCAGCAAAGGCTTCACAACAGAATGAAACACAGAAAAAGAATACAGTGCTATCTCCATGCACTTTCTAAGTAATGTCAAGAGGATACCTTATGACAGCCTCTTTGAAAATGTCAAAAAAATATGATAAAGCAATGTAGAAGCTGTCTGCAAAATGCACATATAACAATATTTCCCCCTCAGATTCGGTTAACAAGACAAACAGGGGTAAAAAAAAATTGCGCAGTTTTCTGCAATTGTTCCTTTTTCACTTTTGTACATTTTACAGTGGACACCAGCTTATTGTTGCTATATCTCTACATCATCTACATAATTGAAAAATCTACATTTGAATCCTGATATCATTTTTTACAGTCACCCTGAGGTACAGCATTATTTTTACTCGACATGCTTTTGATGTAATCAGTAATACCTTTGCATGCCAAGAATGAAGGATGGAATTATCTTGGGCTGACACAACCTGATGTTAAAACAAAACAAAAAAAAATCAAATTGTGATATTACAGACTTTTAGAAATTAGGCATCCCAATGAATGATTTTTCCTTGCTTACCCCTTCCCCGCCTCCCCCACTTCTCTCATTCAGACCTGCAGCTCTCTTCTACTCAAACCCAGACCTGTATCGCTCTCTCTTTAGCCCTTTTCTCCCAATGCCACCCACCTACAACTGCCACCCAGAACCACCCAGACTGCTCTCCCACTCTCTTACCGCGCTGAAATCCAGGAGGTCGTTGAGTTCCTTGTCAGTTCCCACTGCAGCCATTCTTTGCTGCTGTTCGTTCATACCCTTCAGTCTCTAATAAACCCTATGAGAGAAATTTGCAGATACAGGATTTTAATGGCACTAGCAAGCACAAAGAGAATTTACATTTGGCTCTTTAAAAAAATAACAGAGGGTGATGGTAATGAATGTTTCAAACTACTCTATCTTTGCTTTATTACAACCCCAGAGATGATTCATATTGGCAGGTTGTTAGGCCCCCTGAAGACACCAATGCAGGGCTATGTCAGCATTTGTTGAAAAAAAAAAATGTTGTGGTTGCAAACGCATCAAATTTGTTTTTTGTGATTTTCATGACCTAAATATTAGGAGGAAGAAAGATCTTGTGAGTCTGAGAATTTAAAATAAAATATCACTGTCGTTCAATGAGACTCAGCTGGCCAAAACATGCGGCTCAAATTACTAACTCTATCACACGGACCAATGAGGGAAAACAGAAAACATAAGGCTACTTAACGCTATTCACTTGAGCAGGGTCTACTTAATACTGCTAATGTCATTCAGACCCTGCCTTCCCATCCAAGCAGTAGAAGAGACACTCTGCCCTCAGTCAAATCACTACCAAGTAATGACTTTAAAATGTTTTCTTTTATACTACGCAACCCTGGCAAATAACACAGCCATATGTCAATCATTGATACATGAAAGAGTATGCACTACATTTACAATTACAGACATAATTGGGACTATAGTTAGCCCAAGGAAATAAGGGTGAAAGGCAGAGCTAATGACTGTATGCAAACACGTCATTACCAAATTACCATATGTCAACTCAGAAAGAAACCTTGTCAAATGACACAGTGAGCATGAATGCGGATTTACCCTGTGTTTTGCATTCCAACGCAAGCCTTAGGCCGCTCTCTGATGCTGAGTGCCTGAACGCCTCACAGGGAACCAGTGGTGAGGGGAGTGAGTGGAGGAATAGAGGCACTTGGACACCAACAGGTGGTGTGCTTTTACAGCCTCATTTGTAATACAGCACTGCCAAAAAGAATGGATGCAATCCGAAAAAGAAAAGAAAAAAAGGTTGCTGTTTTCGAGGATTTGCTAGATGTAAACAAAGGGGGCTTAGATCATTGAAAGTGTGTCAATAAAAAAAATGTCAAATGTAAACAAAAGTATAAAATGTCCCAAGTCATTTTCTGCATGCATGAAATAACAAAAGTCACTTCAGGGGAGACAAACAGTGCTCTCCAAGTGAAGTGAACTCAGGCAGGCAGAACTAATTTAACCTTGAGCCGAGGAAGGGAAGTGAAAACACACACACACACATCGCCCCAAGTGTAAAAAAGCTAGGAACATGGCTGTCACTGCTTTTCCAAACTTTTGGATAAGATAGCCAATCCATGACAAAAATGACAAAAATAGGCCACACACACACCACTAACATAAACTTAAATATTATTAAACCACTGGGTTAAATGCAGTGGAGCTCACTGAGGGACTTAATGCAACAAAATGGCATCTTCTGCTTCTGCTGGATCAATATTTGAAGCAGGCAGATTAGGGGGTCTTTGTCACCCCACCAATGCAGAGAAGGCAGGTCATTCTCCACAAAAGAGCCTGGACTTCAAGTGTATCAAACCATAGAGCTAAACAGATGCTTCACTTTATCAAACATGGTTTTAAATTCATTAATAACACGACTTAAAATGCATGTGCCTACCACCGGTTTTTTTTTTTTTTTCTACGCCTCTCAAACAATAATTGGCTAATTGAAGCTTGTTGTACTTGTCTAACAATCCTCTTACTACTGTTGTTGGCGGTAAAATATGTGTAATTAAAAATTACATTTCCGCCCGCATAGGTTGTACATGTTTTTGTTGTCGTCAGTCCTGTCAAACGGGGAAATAAAAGCAAAGTAATTAACATAACATGTGTTTATGTCAATGCTATTACTTCGGGAACAACAGGGGCCGCCGTGCTGAAAAGAAAACGCAAATTCAACTGTTGATTCAAAAGAAAACGGATGTGAATGTCTGGTGCCCGAGATAAATAATATCCACTTTAGGTGAAATTGTTTATAACAATGACAGTAAACATCCAGGGCACCACAGGATGTTGGCTGTACATTATTTGATCATCTCCGCTAGGCCAACATCCAGAGGCTGACAACTAAACCCATTCAGCATTTATCTTGAAGCATGTTGACATCATCCTGAGTACTAACTAAAAACATAATCTGCAGTTGTGGCTGCCTAGGGGAAACAAAGTATGTGTAAAACAAGTGCAACGGTCGTGACCCTGGAGAATAAGAGCTCCAAACTTCATGCAACAAATAGTGACTTATTTCTCTCACATATTAGGGTTCAAGTCGTGCATTATGAGGGGAGTGAAGTGGAGGAGGCAATGGTGGGGGTGGGAGCATGAGGAATTTCCTGCCAAATGTGCAATAAAATAAAGTCTAGCTGGTGGCCAGACACTTCCATAAAGGAATGTTTAAAGGGTTGCCAAAAGGGGGTTTTATGGAAAGTTTGTTCGTGGCTTGTGTGGAAAATACATGTAGGCCCGCAACACAAAGTTTAGCTTAAATCCTCAGGAACATTACACAACGTTTTACAATTAATATTTGCACATTTTGGCGGATACGCTCGGTGAAAAACAACATGAGGCTTGTTAAGCAGGAGTTAACGTTAGTGGGGTCTTTTTGCAGAACAAAGGAGTAATTTCCTTCTCTCCGTGGTCAATGCGGGGACCATCACACACTTGGCTCGCCACCTCAAACCAGACAAAAACTTAACATCCCCCCCGCTTTAACCACACATTCCCAAAAACTTTTCGAAAAATGTCAGGCGTCAAAATAGGTGTCAGTGAAAGCCATCGTATTCATGCAACTTCCCCCCGAAACATGAAGTGAAAGAAGGTGTTTTTACCTCTCCTCTGCAAGTGTCTGATATCCAACAGTAAAAAGAAAAGCGGAGACTGGCGAGGAGAAAAACATAAAACTTCAAGAGAATTTCGACCTCAGCGCATGAAACGCATTGGAGCACCGTAGATGTCTTTCCTTTTGTCCCGGTAAGCCTGCTCTTCAACACAGCGCCCACGTGTGTGCTACAATGTTACAAGTCTGGGTGCAAACAAATCTATTATAGTAACTAATCTCGCGTCTTCCTTTTTGTTGTTACAACTGAGATGATTTCATTCTTCTCGTAGACATCTTCACCACCTCCGTCCACATTGTCAGACGCAACAACGTATCCCTCCGCACAAAAGTGAGGGCCTCAATGCCAGCGGTGTCCGATTTCAAACGCCTTTGAGAGACGGGGTATTTTCACAGTGGGAAAAATACAGCTTAAACGTGTAACAACCGCCAAAACGACGGAAATGTCTATTGTCGAAGCTCAGTGTTGTGTGTCGTATCTGCAATCCTTAAAATGCAAGAGCGCTACGAGCACTATGTCGTACGGCGGAAGGCTATCGTAAGAAAGTTACCTGCGATTAAACAGCAGCAGCTTGACGAGATGGCACGATAAATGTGAAGGGGCTCAGCCAATGGGTGAGCGTGTACGCTTGATTGGCAGCGACGGAAGCCAACCAACGGCTGAAAATGCACGTTAAGCCCGCCTTTTTCTTGACGCTCACTTTCCCTGTGTGCTCAGGGAAGCTGGCTGAGGGGGGCTCCTCCAACATGCCCGCTGACATCATTTTATTACTTTGGTTGGTGTGACCTCTTTTGCTGTTTTTAAAACAAAACAATATATATATCTAAACCAAGGATTTAAATGATTTGGTTATAATTACAACAGCCATTGTAAACTCAACGTGTTTGGTAGAAATTACTCCTTTGTATAGCTAACTGTAAAAAAAATGTATCTCAACATTTAAAGGGGGCATAATTTATTTTAGAATTCAATACAACCATTTAACATAATATGTTCCTGGTGTAGGCTTGAGTGATTAAGGATAAGAAATATTCAGGCCATTTGTTGGTAGCTTACAAAATGTAATGTTTAAAAACACATGTCCAAACATTGTGTGATTGTAAAACAATATTTCAAACAAATGAATATACTTAGAAATACTATACTTTTAATTAAAACTATAATAACATGTCCATTATCACCCCCAGTCTAAGTCGATTGATCAGACATTTTGAATTCATTGAATCTATCAGACATTTTGAACGTGTTGTCATGCTCAATAACTTATGTGCATGGTAAAAACAAGACTTCAAGTATCACTTCATTGTGTAGAAATGGTTAATTCATTAATTTGTCAACAAATCCATGAATGTAAGTCGAAGTAACATTTATTTACTATTTAGAGTAGGCTACTCATTTTCCACTATGGCTGCAACCAACAATTATTATGTTTTATTATGATTTATTTGTCTTCTGTAGTAGTTTTCTCAAAAGAATCAGAAAACAGCAACAACAAAAAGTGCCATTATTATTCACCAGAGACCAAAGGGATGTACGGCTTGTTTCTATGAGAAAAAAACGGAACCTTACCCGAATAAAGATAAATTAATCAGTTAATTAAGAAGCTTGAACAATTAAACATTTGTCGTTTTTGCTTAGTAGCTGATTTTCTGTCAATCGACTCATATATTTATTGTTTCCGCTCTAATTTCTATGTCTATGTAGCCAATCTGTTTGTGAATGAGCTGACAAACATAAAACCAACACAGCCTTGGTAACTGCCTGCTCCAGAGCAGAGTGGAGAGGAGGGAGAGCAGAGTATAGGATCACAGAGAGGGGGGGGAGAGAAATAGTTCAGAGAAAACTGTTCAAACAGGGAGGGCACACCGGATGATCTACGCAAATGTGTCTGTAATGTCAAAATGCTGCTTTTACAAGAAAACAAGAGCAAATTATAGATGTTTGAGTTAACTGCAGGTCTTCTACCATTATGATAAACAACCACATACAATTGAATACGTTTAGATCACCCTGATGTTTTACTAATTAGTTTCCTGTCTATATTGTACAGAAAATCCCTCAAACAAAAACAAACACTCTTTTGAAAAGTGTATGTAGGTGTTCGACAGCTGTTGTTCTTAGCCTGAGGGCAAACCCTGTCAAAGAAGAGGGAAGTTAGGATGACCCTGCTTTGTTTCTGCTCCAAAAGTTACCATGTTCTATATAATCTAGACATGTTATTTTATAAAGAAACAAAACAGAAAACAACGGAAACCTTCAGAAATATATATCTCAGCACAGAGTTATCACTGTAGACCAGAACAAAGGCCAAAGTATCTGTGCAGTTACAGTGTGGGCGGGATGCTAACACCATTTAACACAATTTAACACATGGCAGATGCAAACATAGCTGACTATCCTAATGCTTTGTATTTGCATAGAGGTCACCAATGGGAAGGGGGATTTGCTGTCAATAGGACATATAGGTAAATAATCCATTGGGAGTCCCCTGGGTGAAGGAAAAGCCTCGGCACAGAACATTAATTAGTCTCACGGACCGACTTAGGAATGTAATGGGGTTACTGCTCGGAACAAGCGCACATATGGGCCATAAATACCTTCACAAACATACCATGCACACATTCACATTTGGTCACACACAGGAACTCACACAAAAAAAAACATCCAACGACAGCCAGAAAATAATCACAGCTATCAAAGAAAGAGCATCTTGAGTTATTTATCCAACACCTATTTGGAATCCTTTCATATTAATCAAAAGATTAGATCTGAGCAGATGGAAACATCTGTTTGGGGAAATGAATTTTTAGTGCAGGCAGAGAAAATCTTTCATATTCTCGCTTTTTTCCAGAAGACGTTAAGGCCTTGAGTAAGAATAGTGCTGTTGTCAGTATTAGCAATGAGGCTTGTAAGCCCTCCAAGTAGTTTGTAGTAACAGCTGGGTCTGACATGGAGAGCATGTACAAGGGCAGCCAGGCTGAAGAGAGGGAGGGGGCGGAAGAAAAAGAATTAAGAAAACATATATAGTGAGAATCTTCACCTTAATGAACACAGAGTATATGTGAGGGACACACGAGGATAACAGAAATAGGTTTTATAACAGATAGACAGAAGACATTTGTTCTTAAGCATTATCCTCTCTTGAACTATATTTCCATCTTCTCTATAATTTGTATTTACAAGGGAATTAGGGAGGTACCCCCTTTCATTTAAGCCCAAGGCAATAGCTGGTTTGATATGTTATTCCTGATATTGAGCGATACAATTCCATTCAGCTGTTCGGAAATAATCAGTGCGGCCTGTAACATAAAAACAATAAAATGTGGCCGTCCTCTGTTTTGTTTGTTTCACAATCGACTCAAAAAACCGGATATTGACCTCTAAAAGCTCAATTCGTATGCTAAAAGGATGTTGCATTATCAAACTATGGATAATCTACCGCATGGTGAAAGCTCACAGCATGATTATACAGAAAGGAGTAAATAAAAACACAAACAGGCCATGTATAATCTGAAAATGTATTCACAGTACAATAGACGGTTAACGGCAGGATGGGGAGGGATGCTGTCACACATGCCCTCGATGATTCCTTCCAGCCATTCCCGGCTTTATATGTGTAATTAACAACAGATGCACATGAAAAATTTGCATATGTTTGGCACATTGGTACTAATCTCACATATATTTGTGCATATTCATGAAATATATATGTACAGATATTTCGAGTCACATACCTTCTCACGATAAAAAAAAATATGGTTTAATAAGTATACTTAATCCTCTTTTGTTTTTCATCAACAATGCTTTGTGGATGACGAGAAAAAGGAGGGCAACCATGCATAATAGTATAGATACCTCACATAGGTCACCTTTATTTCTAGCCGCTTTAAACTCCAATCAAAAAGCAATGCATTGTTTCCCCACAGCTGGGTTTATTTCTGGCTACCTGCCTCAGCACTCTCACGTGAAATACACCTTCAGCGCTCATTGCTATCTGGCTCTGCTCATAGGAAGTCAGCCATGCAAGCCGAACCACATCACCAGGTTATATCACACACTTTGATAAGCCCGTAAACATACAGTATAGGCAGCACGCATAATGCACACAGAGCTCGGTGGTGAGGCAAGCTGCTCACCTCGTTCCACACTGAGCCCCTCACAGCCTGTAATAGTAGAGGCTTAGGGTTGGGTGGGGGAAGGGCAGAGGTGCACAGGTTTCTGATCAGACAAGAAAACTAGGCCAAGACCAACAACCCCTCTCCCCGAACAGCCTCAGCTCCTCCTAAATACTACAACTTTGTTACAGGGCTGGGACAATCACTTGGCGAGATAGTCATTAATGGCGAAGCAAACGGAGTCATTTTGAGCCACAACACGTGTATTTAGAGGCATAACAGCTTCTCATAGCCGGGCTATGATTCATGCTTCCTTGCCCCTTTGGAAGCTGTCCTCCAATAAGAGTTAGAGGCTGGGGGTAGGAGCGGATAGATTGATAGTGTTGGCTGAGTGCCCATGCTCTGAGTCTATCTGTGCTGAAGGGGAGGAGACAGGGGGAATCTATCTGTTGTGCTCTCTGTGCTCATGATAAACTGACTCCCGTCAAGCTTCTTCCCCTTATTACAGCTTGCCTGGCAGAAAACACCCAAACTCGCACGGACTTCCAACAAAAAAACAATGAAATGTGGGGAGTGAGTGATTTAAACAGCAAGGGCAACAGTCTGCAAGGTTATGCTGTCGTCTTTCAGGGATAGTTTTGGAAACAAAAGCCAAGCAGAGCAGTTGTTTTGGAACAAGTCTGTGCAGCGTATCTTCTCGAATTCAAACAAAGTATCTGAACCCAGGATTCAACGTCATGTCTAATGGGACCATGGCCAGCAGTGAAACGCATTGTCCCTCTCCTTCCTTATCCTGAAACCGTAATTCCCACAGAGCTCCACAGTGAGAAAGAAAATGAGTTTGAGGGATTGTCCACGACATTAATCCTCCCAAACACAACCATTCCAGACAGGATCCAATACAGACAGGCAAACACAACGTAAATCAACAATCTATTTACTAAAGGAAAATCATTTTGACTTGGCTCTGCTTTCATTTGACAATGGCTTTTTTTTTCTGGATGCAGCTTCCTCTGTTCTCTCTGCTGATTTGATGGGACCCCTCCCTGCCATCTTGAAATCCCATTACTGTGCAGTTGTATGGATGCCCTGTTCTGCCACCCTCGCTCCAGGTATAGAGAAAGACCAGTTTCCTGTTTACAAAGCCGGGCAGTTAACAGCCCACAACCAGACAATATGGCTAAGGGAAGTAGAAGATAGGAGGTTGTGGTGAGGGTTGAATTTGAAGGGTTGAAGGAATTTGATAGAGGAACAGAGAGTGTTAGATAGAGAAAGTGCAAAGTGAAGAGGAGCTACCTGAGCCAAAAAAAATGTCTTCCCCAATCTGAAAATAATACAGTAGTCATATATATCGAGGGGGAGGTGTGCGAAAAATCACATGATAACAATCAGATCAGAAGCTGAATTGACTCTAAATCAATTGAAGTAGGCATGTCAGGGCTGCCCAGGACAGGGGTGGGGGGGAGAGGGAGTGAAAGGGAGATAGATGTGAGCCCGTGTGGGGGAGGGAAGCAGAGATTGTTGGTGTCGTGGGAGCACTGCAACAACAATAACAGCAGTGTGTGTATGTGTATGTGTATGTGTATGTGTGTGTGTGCGTGTGAGTGACAGTGTGAATGGGTTAGAGTGGAAGTGGGGATGTGTTATGGCTCACAAAAGTGATGAAATGACATCTCCTTTACTCCGGCACACAGCTGCTAGCAGCAGAGAAAACACTGTTAAGATTATCTGACCTTCTATTTTCTTTGCTAGCCGCCGGTCAGAAGTGTCTGCCCGCCTGTCATGTTCGCCTCTAATTAGCTTTATCTACACAATGACTACACTGTGTCCATTACAAACACATTCCTGCCCATTGATACTCACATCGTTAATATAACCTGCATGACTTCTTCAATTCACAGGCGTTTAAAAAAATTCAACAAATAAACTTGATTTACATTTGTTTTGAAGACTCTTCATTATACATTTATACTCCCCAAAATACTCTCTGCTTTATACATATCGGCAAGTTCTCGTCTCACAAACTAAGCTAATGATTACAGCTTTCAGGTTAGAAATTCAAATCCGATATGAAAACTTATGGATATGACACATTTCGGGTTGATGCTTCTCTTTTTTGTTGTTTTTCTCTTTTTCTTTCATCTCTTTTTCTCCTCCCCTCCCCCCTTTCTTTGCAGATTAGAATTCATTAGCAATCAAAGAGCCTCCAGAGAGCTCCAGCTCTTAATTACCTACTCATTTGCATTTTTGCATATTAATGACTGCAGGGTTTTGGTAGGGTTTTTGCCGCAGTGGTTTAAAGGCACCTCAGTCCTCTTGTTCTCTGGGGAGGAGGAGAGATGGCCAGAGGCAAAGCTCCAAGCCTGTCCAATCCCCCCCATCCTGCCTGATGGGAGCTGGACAGAGCAAGAAGAGAGGGGGTGTTGGCCGGGGACACATGGGACCGGGGGGAACGGTGCTTGGGGGGGGGGATTCAGGGGTGCACAGGTTAAAGGTCAATGTCCCTTATCAACATAAGAAAGAACACATGTTTCCAGCGCTGCCTAATTATTGTCATATTGAGCAGTTTAAACACCTGATCTGAAAAAATATATACCCTCAGAGAAACTGGAAATCTATACTGCAGAGATTGCTCACGTGGGTTTTATTGAGGGCGGCAGCTAGTTTGGATGAAACTCATGTCCCACAGTGTGCAGAGGCAGGGGCATTTTATATCCCTGGAGAAAGGTGTGTACCGGTGAAAATGAGGGTAGCGTGTGCGTGTGTGTGTGTGTTTGTGTGTGTGTAGCTGTTTTGCTTTACATTACAGCCTGTCTCAAAGTGTCCATTATGAGGGCAGTAAGAGGCTCATTTACTGTGAGCCTTAATGACGCCAGTATGCATGCATATGTGCACAAGCATGTACAATTATAAAACCCCACCTATGCGCAAAAGCATATAGACAAACATGTAAACAGTTGCACGCACGCGCACGCGCACACACACACACACACACACACACACACACACACTTGCGTGCACATGCACATGATTGAGGGAATCATACCACTAGAGACGGCAGACAACAGCTCCCAGGCATCTCCCAGCCCCTGAAGTGCTGCTGTTCCTCTTATCCAATATGTTTTGACTGAAACAATGATGTCTGAACATGGAAAATAACACCATATCCCACTGTGCTTTTAGATACCTTACAAACACAACAATTAATGACTTGAAGCCTTGAGACATCTGGCCAACCGGTTGAAGATGATTGAATAAAACATGTCATACAATAACATATTTACTCTGTATGGATTTTTATCCTAGAAGATGTTGAAAACGGCTTTATTAAAAAAAAAAAAGAAGCAAACTTGGTATTTTTTACACACAAATAAGAGCCACATCTACGAGGAAACATTTCAATGTGGTGACGCTTCACAACATGCAAGACACATACATGTCTCATGGCGCATCCCTGAAAACATACTGCTTCCAGAGGGGGCTTAAGTCGACTTAAGTGCTATTAGTGGAGCATTATAAAATGTGTGTGTGTGTTGTGTGTGTCTGTGCAGCCAGGGCCTGAGGACTGCAGCAATGTGTGGGCTGTCGGGGTGGGGTTAATGAGCTGTTCTGTGACCTCTGTCACCCCCCAGGACCGCCTCAGGGAGACAGAGCGAGACAAACAGGAAGACAGGGTGACAATCAGCCCAGGGTCGCAGTCTGCTGCTGGACTTCTGGGACACATCAGATATGAAACTCTATAGGTGGCCTAACATCAATATAAATATCCTCAAAAAGACTTCTGTTAGTAAAGATCCTTTGAAATCAGGTGACGACAATATCTCTTAATGAAAGTCAGGTGAAAACACAATGTCTGCACTGGATAGGGATGCTTTTTTGTGTGACTTGAATGCATGGTTATGCATCAGATAAAATGAAACTTGATATGTGCTGTCATGGTCACTAAAGAGGGGGAGTAAGAGAGTCAAAGAAAGATTGCAAAGAGAGAGGGAAACAGAGCAGTGGTGTGGCTGCACTCTGAAGATCACTGCATCCCCAAGACGTGATAACAGAGATACTGCTGCCACCTTGTGGTCAGTGTGGAGAACTGAGCTGTCAGAAGAGGTTGCACTATGCACAGGGAACACAACAATAACATGATTCAATCCTGCATTCCTTCTATTATATCAAGGAAAACGTGTTTTGTGACATGTTGAGAAATAAAAAACAATTGTTAAAAAAAGTGTTTCCTGTTATTCTGACCACCCTTGTAACTGTATAAATTAAAAATAATATATATATTAACGGCGTTTCGTTACATGATGCACCTGTGTGTTGACCGTAAATCCCTGATTACAGATAAGATACTGAACAGGAACCAACACAAATATTATTGTATTATTATTATTACTAACATTTGTATTATATTTGATAGGTCAGAATAAGAGACAATCGGTCCAGTCAAATGTTTGCAACCATTGTTTTTAATAGAAAGATGTATATTCTTTAAACCAGACAACCAGATGCCAGACATTTTTGGATATATTAAAAAAAAGAAGAACAGAACAAAACAAAAAAAATGACACAAAATGGAATTATATGGTTTAGACTGTGTGGATTTAGTGGTCTCATATACAATACAATATATTTTCATTGCCAAAAAGTGCAAATTCTCCCAAAAAGAAATCACCAATATCCCACCCCGCCCCCCTCCCCTGCAGCTTCCAACAGATATGGACTGACAGACTGCTACGCTAAGAAAAGAAAAAAGACCTTTGTGAAGAGAAAGGGGCTTATTTAAAAAGTAAACACCACTGAATCACATGGGGAAGAAAGCGGCCTCTGCCCTCTCTGGCCGCGCTCCATTCGATTAGTGATGCCACAGCAGGTGCTCTGCCTCTGGGACGCACTTGTTGTGATACACAGAGCCGGGTGTGGTCACATGTGCAACATAAAGTTTAAGCACACAGAGAGAAGTGGAGCGGCCGCTTCCTTCCGGGTGTGATTGTGAGCGTTTGTGATTCATGTCCTGCTTTTAGAGGATGGGACACATTCTGCCATTTTCAAATGTACATCAGAAAGAATATCCCTCTGTAAAGGATTATCATGATAATCACAGTTACACATCAATCTATTATAAATAGTATCTCTCCCAAGTCACACAATTTACCAAATGGATTTATTAAATGTTTATCATGATCAACAATATTCTTCTAACTGAGATCATCTTGATTTGACAAAGGCCAAAAACATTTTCGTACTGATTTGCAAAAGTGCATGATGGTCTTTTGGCCATTTTATCCGTCTTTCATAATCATTTAAGCGCTATATGGATACCAGATCCAGCCTCTAACTACAGACAGGGCATTATTGCAGACAAAAAGGTTCTGCAGTGGATACACACTGCATGTTTAACATTCAGCACAGCTAGCCTTCTCAGAAAGCTTTGCAACTGTTATACAGGTTTCTTTTCAAGAAAAGGAGTCTCCCAAAATGAGATCAAATGACCTTTCTCCCAACAAGAGCTGAGACGATAAGCAGAGCAGGTGAGGGGAGATCTGTCCAGTACCCCCCCCCAACCTTGGTGTGACTATGCAATAAGCTGCATATAAACAGGTATGTTGGTACTTTAACAGAGAAGTGTTGTTTATGTCCAGATGAGGTGGCAGCTTGAAAATCACCTCCAATACCAAATATTCTACTTTTTTTTTTTTCACATTTTCATCAAATTGTTTTTCTTTTTTCATTTAAATAATCATTGCCAGAAAAAAAAAAAAAAAAAGACATCAACAGGTAAAACAAAATAACAATAGTGATAACCATCAAATAAAAGCACACACATTTCAGGATGGCCTTTCGCAAAAGTGCCTTTTGTTACAATCGCAGAAGCTTAAAAAGGCAGTTGGATAGCGGTACACTGGGGGGCCTCTTGACTGTCTGTCTACATGTCGGAGGGAGAGTGAGGCTCGACAGGCAGACTGAAACAGCCAACTTAAAATGTTGACCGTGTTTTCTTGCCGTCTGCAACACACATCCTTCACACCTGCCAAAAACTCCAAAGCTGGAATCACAGTATGAAGCTATGGAATGTATCCTAAATGAGTTTAGGTGACTGAAACTATAGCTCACCCTCTCCCCCCTTTATCTCCCGTAGACTCCCCTGCTGAGGGACGTGTGATCTCTGATCAAAGGCCGGTCGGCAGCAAAGATGTAGACTCTGAGTCCGGAGAGAGGGGGAGCGAGCGGAGAAGAGAGAAGCAGAACATACTCTCCCCCGTGCTTTCCCAACCCCATCACTTTTCAGAAATGTTACTGACTTAGAGTGAATCTCCAGTGCCTTCCTTCCCTCCAACAAACAATCCACTGGATCAATATTAGATGGAGAAATAGGCTGGTCACAGCCACTTTACAATGGGGGAGCTGTTCCTGCTCTCATCTTTCTGGGAACTATTATGGTAAATATTGGTGAACATGAAAGGCAAACAGAGAAGTAACTTGGAGGGTTGATTAGACATACCATGAACTTAGCAAACATTGAGACCCAATGCATAGCAGTGTATTTTCCACCTGAGTAGTACTTACATAGAGACAAAAGAGATCAGCAGCATTCTGTGAATCTGTGGTGACCTCCTTTGGGTTACAATTCTTATCATATTGTGGCCATGCATTCCTACCAGCTAAGAGGACGATTGCTCAGCAAATAGTCCGTCACCTGGGCTTTCTAACCTCATCCCTGAAAAACAACATCCAGCTTTCCCCTACCACCCGTATTTAATCCTCCTCCCTGTATGCCAACCTTTGTATCCCCCAGAGACCGAGAGACTCCAAGTGCAAACTGTCCCCACCCGGCCGAGAGCAGCCAACAGACAGCAGCCTGCCTCTCTGAAGGACCCAGGGCTGTCTGTGTAAGTGCCAGAGCCTCGCTGCGCATAGTGCCGCACTGCATATGCTGCGCTCAGCTCGCTGTGCATCAAGAGCCTGATGGAAAACACACGAAAATGACGAAGCAAAGCAAATAGTCCCCCGTCTGCCGCCACGAATCTGAATGTTAACAGCCACCCCGCCCTGCTTCGCTTGATTATTTACAGTTATCATAGTTGTTGGTCGTCTTTGTTTTATGGCCTTCTCAGATAGATTCCCCCAAACTCTTTGATAACAGCATAGGACAAACATAACAAGGTCAATTTGGAAAAACACTTGCATTAAAGTTCAGAGAGTGTGTCAGTGGAGCCTGGGTCAGAGTAACCTTAGTGAGGGGCCGAGGCAGGGGGCCCACCAGGAGGATCCATAGAGGCTGACAGAGACTGAGCTCTGAAGAGGTGGATGTTCATATTCATTTATTCAAGTAAAGCTTAAACAGATACATGATCAATTTGAGTTCCAAGCCAATCAGCATTTTGGTTTTAATATGTCGGAAGAAAAGTTTTTTGTTTATGGAAACAAAGAAATGAAATTAAGTTGTGAGTTCTGTCGGTTCCTGCCCACGTAAGGCACACTGTGGCCCTTGACGTTTGCAGCGTCCACCTGGTGGGAGTTAGCCTCAGCCCCAAACTGCACAATACAACTGTCTGGAAACAAGAAATGAAATTTAAAAAAAAGCTTAGTGCTGCTCAGACAAGGCCACGGAGTCCCAGTCTGCTTCAACGTTAGAACATTTGAATTCAATTCAACCTTTTTCCAGAAGTAAACTGAACATTTCAGCAAGGATCAAAATAACAGTGTTTAACAATAACAATATATTTCATTATCATTTCATATCATTTCTCATCATTTGACTGAACATGAACTTGATAAAATCCCATCTCTTAAATGAACTTGATTCCATATCTGTGGCACCTGCAAACAGTACGTCTCAGCCTTCAGACCAGGACACAATTAAATATTTTAAATGGATTTCGGAGAGGCTTCGCTACTTTCTAAGTGCCTAAATGTTGTATATTTGGAATATTTCTTAACATGAACAGCAAACATTTGTAGCTGTTATCACACCATAGTGTCCATCAGAAGTTCTCTTTTCAAGAGCCTTCAGATCTAACAATAAAACTCTATAAATCCAACATTAGATAGTAGCTTAAAATGTCCAATGACTTCAACGCAAGCCATTTCTTCTCCTTTGGTATTTGTTGGACGTCTGTATATCTCTTAATATACTGTACATGATTATTTCTATGGAGGGGTTGCATGGACTCCATGAGACCATTGAGTATTAACCACACTGCTCTGTGCTCATGGAAACTCGCAGGCTTTCTGAGGTCTCCTGCCCTTCTCCCATACGCAGGATAAGGACATTAAACATTAGTGCAAACGTTTGCTCTCTCAGCTAAAGCACCATTTCCAGTGCTATCAGGCTTTATATCCATAACCCCACCCAAGCACCCATTTCCCCAACCCTCCTGGCACAGCAACCCAAAACCATGACCCCAACACACATACACGCATACACACACACACGCAGCCATGTACAATTGTTAGAAAAAAAAGTAGCACAACACGTTATTTTAAGTGTAGACGGACAGAAATAAACTATACATCTTTAAACCTCTGATTCTACTGTCCACAAGGAGAGAAAGAGCGAGAGAAAGCTAACTCAAGTCAATATCTGTATGATTTCACACACACTTCTGCATATGTATTCAAGAGGAGGGCTTCTGTGTGTGACTTAGTCAGGGAGGCTGGATACATTAGACTTATCTACAGTGGACTAAGATTGAGGGCTTTGGTTAATTAACAAAACACATAAGACTTTTTTTTAAGTACAAAGAAACCAATGTTTAAGATTGCTAACAGGTTTCACTTTCTGCCACATCAAGACAAAGTTGGTTTAAGCGGTCCATTTATTACATAAATATCACATATAGCTAGCATTGTCTGCCTATAGGAGTCAAACTGTGCGCTAATGAACCCCTCCTTAATCATAACGGAGAACCAAAATAGAAACTAAGACTCTCAAGGCCTGGCCAACCACTGACGATGACCAACAAGGGTAAACAAAGAGTTTTGCAAATCTGCACCAAGAGAGCCGTGATGTAAACAAGCAATTGTCCATTGAGTTGTTTTTACAGTATGGTCGTTTTGCTTCTGTGGAACCGTGCACCTATTATCACTGCGGTCCCTCTGAGAACACGTGTAGTTATGAGAGGAGCTGTTGAACAGATGGGGCAGACGCAACGTTTGTTTATCCAAGCTTGTCCCGAGACCCTCCTGCCTGCCAGCCAGCAGCACATGCACACAACTCAAATGCATGCCAACACACACACACACACAGTGCTCTTTCTTCTTCTCCTTCTAGCCCCTTCCTTTCCTAAGACAGAAAGACAACTTATTAGATTTCAAGTGCTATCACTTACGTGGTTTAGTCTTTTCTCAAGGTCACAAAACCCAACATGTGTGAATCAGAACAACTCTTTGAGAGCTCTGATCTCTGTTTAAAATTGAGTTTGGCAGCTTGTCATCAAAACCTGATCAAAACCAGTGAAGGAGCTCAACTTCACCTCGACAGACAGAAGAAAGGACTTATCTCATTTGCAACTGCTTTGCTTCAAAGTACCCGTTTGGTTGAAATAGTGCCCCCTCAGTAACAAAGTGCATTCATAACCGTCTTTTCAATTAAGGTGCAAGGGACTGATTTATACTGCAGAAATGACAGGGCGGTGATTGGGTGGGGGGGGGGGGTTATACAAAAACACAACTTTAGATATTTTAAGACTAACAAATCCAGATGTATGGAGTCACTTACAATATTCAAACCGATATGTCAGCTCTGGTGTTTTCCCCTTCTCCACGGGATACCTGGACCAAGTGAGCTGAGTATCTGAGTGTGTGTGAACATGTGTGTGACAGAGAAAGTGCATTGGGGCTGGCAGCTCAGGGTGCATGTTTGAACAGGCCGTGGCTGACTCACACAGTGATGATGTGGCCACAGCGACCCCGGCTGCCACGCACACACATGTACACAAACACACAGAACATACAAACACACACACTCCCACACTAAACTGCCAGCACCAGGCGTCCTCCCCACAGTAACACCAGGCTGTAATATAATAATATCCCCTCCAGGCTAGTTCGGGGGCATTAGAGGACTACAGAGGGAGAGAAAAGGCTTGATTTGATCCCCTCCCGCCTGGAAACGTGGCTGAGCTGGGGGAGATTATTTTTTTGGAATGCAACAGACATTGTGAGATCCCCCTCCCCTTCCCTTGCTCCCCTCCCCCATCATCCAGCTGCAGCTGCGCTCCTATTTGGCCTCCCAACTTGGACAGGTATTTATTGCTCTCTTCACCATACAGGTTGCCTCACGGTTGTGTGGTCCCTCGGGCACATAGGATTGGAATAAGCATGATACATATACCTCCTCTCACACCAGCCCTCTTCCTTTAAATATACCTCTCTCTCGCTCTGCTGGATATCTTTAGTAAAGCTGTGCAAACATAGAAAAAAAGGTGCTCATCTATCTCTTCTTCGTACTCTTTGTCATTCTCTCGCTCGGGCTCCCTGCCATTCCTTTAACCTGCGCTCGGTTAAATGCTACCCGCGCCTTGTCACACAAGGACACAATCCGAAAGAACTGCACATTCATTCATCCGACCTCCTCGTCCTTTGGGCAGGAACTATACAAGTCAAGTGTTTTAAGTTTAGGACAAATAGGTGATTCAATGGTTTTTCTCATCAGACATTCATACAGGTTGGTTTTTTTCGTTCACCCACAAGCTTCACTCCGTGAGAAATATGACATCAAGCCTAAGAGGAAAAACCCGATTGTTAAGTACACCTCAGCATTAAGAGGGGACCAATGTCATATCACCACCTGCTGTATATACATGCATACAATTATAAAGTGTCAAGTACCCAAAGCAGTCAACAGAAAGGAACAACGACCCAAACTAAATTAAGACAAAATCAAAAGGGAAAACAGAAATGCTGAAATTGCAGGTTTGTGAGGGATAAGAGGCAACGGAGTCAATCCGACAGATACATAAGACCATGGTAGTGCTTTAAAAACACAAACCCTCCACCCCTCATTTTCCCTAGGCCTGCAATTGAAGAGCCCCCGTTAAAGTGGATTTGACTCAATATGAATTTGTTTTTCAAAATAACAAAACATAGATTCTTAAAACGCATTTTTTAGAGTAAGTAACACTTCAATCAAACCCCTTGTCTGATTCTTTCTGGAACATTTAAAGAGAGAAAACTGTTGCATCAAAATTGTGGTGAGCTTTCCTTGCATATGCCATTTTGTGGCAATGTTGTTTCTATGGTAACTGTACATTTCACACCTGCAAAAGAATAGAAAAAGAGTTGTTTTCACTGGGAGGATTTGTCCTCGCTTCACCCGTACAGCAGCCAGAAGGAGCTTGATAGACACCTTGCTTAGAGCTTGAAGGCCGTGAGGACAAAACCAATACAAATTGAAATCAACTGCATAGTTGCTCAGTTTCTTTTGAGCGATCATACGTTTGCCTAAGCACATATCCCAATGTACAAAAACCTTAATATTAGAAAGAATGAAATGGCCCAGAAAGTGGACGTGATGGGTGCATGAATTGAAGCGTTCTTTGCTCTTTAACAGATAAACCGACTCAAGTGCTTGCAAGTCTATTCCATTTCCTAAAGTGAAAGGAGAAAGAAATATAAAGATTAGAATTTTTGTGACACCCTGATTTGGTTTATAGAGGAATAGTTAGTTGTTGTTTTTTTTTTAAAAGTTTGCCTTAGCATGTTTTTTTACTCCTCTCTGTTCACTGGCCTGTCTCACAGGCAGTGCAGAGTGACGGTGTCCAGCAGTGTCCTTGTGGCCCCTGCAGCCTCAGGGCCCGGCCTCCTCCTGCAGTTGAGGACTGTGTGCGTGGGCTTCGGCAGCCCCCTCCATCTCTGCCGCTGACGATGCCTCCGAGCTCCGCCGTTCCCTGATGGTGCCCGGCCCGGGGCTCGTGTCGGACCCGGGGCTGGGCAGGCTCAGGGGGGCGTCGAGGAGCCCGGGGTCTCTCACCCGAGGCTTCCGACCTCGGCGAGAAGGGATGCCGTTGCAGCCGTCCTTCTTGAGGTGGCGGTGCAGGTGGTCCGAGCGGACGAAAGTCTTAAAGCAGCTGGAGCACTGATAGGGGCGCAGGCCGGTGTGCACGCGCATGTGGTTCTTCAGGTCGTAGTTGTGAGCAAAGGCGGCTCCACATTGCGTACACAGGTAAGGCTTCTCTCCTGTGTGCTTCCTCATATGAACCTTGAGCTTGTCCTGCCTGGGAAAATTATAAACAAAATCCCATCAGAATACAAATACAACTAATTACAATGCAGTAGAGGATCAGCTCAAACTCAGTGCTGAATCTAAAACACTCAGTTACTTATCAGGACACGTCATTTCTTATCAAATACATAATTAACTCCAAAATGATTATTCATTCTCATATCCACATACTGTCGTGAACTTAATCTGCTTTGGATAGTTTTATTTCCTATTAAACAGCCATCTTTTGGATGTCTTCCAATGTGGATTATTCTGTGAGGGCAGCCAGGCGAACTGAGGAGAAGCCATAAACGTTACATCTTTATCTTAGAAACTGCACACAAGAGCCAACTGTGGCCTGAGGAGAAAGCTCAACGTTCACTGTGTCAGTTTGCATTTTTTTTTAAATTTCTTTTAACTTCTCTTTTAGTATGAAACCATATCAATTTGACAGATAACAAAAAAAAAACGTTTTGTAAATATAAAAAAAGGATTTCAGTGTAGCCAAAGTAGGGCTGCTCAATTTATCGTATTTGAATCTCAATTACGATTTTGGCTTGCAAAGATTATGAAAACAACATAATCGATAATTATTTTGTATTATTATTTATTTAAAAAAAATTGTATTGGTTTTTCAATTGAGTTATACTTAAAGTTCAGGGTAATCAACAGTTAAAAAACATACTACACCTTTTTCTTTTTCAATAAATTGATGTTTTCAAAGTAAATGGATAATCGTTTTTAATAATCGTGATATCAATTATTGACCCAAATAATCGAGATTATGATTTTTGCCATAATTTGGAAAACTTGTCGTTTATCTTGGAGGAGAGCTGAAATATAGATGAGTCTCAATTTCTCAGCCTAGTTCTTTCCCCACAAGCTTTCATTTGATTGCATTTTGTATTAGAGCGGTTGTCACTTCTCAGTCCAACACTTACTTTACAAGTCCATCACTAGTCAAAACAAAGCACTTGACTTTGTAACTGTAAATTGATATCATTACACCCTGGAACATGTTTTACTTTGTGATGGTACACTGCTGCCCGCTATTATCAGGCTGCCTTGGCCTTGATGTGACTCTTGTCCCTCCCTCCCCCCTTTAGCCCTTACTATCTCTCCAGCTCCTGAGCTCTTTAATCGTCTAACCCTTCTGCACTGAGGACAGAGGGCTCCTAAACAAACAAGCGTAGTTAAGACAACTCTACTGGAACACACACACACACACACACACACACACACACACACACACACACACACACACACACACACACACACACACACACACACACACACACACACACACACACACACACACACACACACACACACACACACACACACAGTAAGTGGATTAGCTGTCACACAAACAAACCCACTGCGACTCTTACTGATCTATACAAATGGTGCCCCAAATCTAAAAAAGAAAAAAGCAATATGTACAGGAGGAACACACACATGAGTACACACAGGCCAAAGCCTTGGGAAAAAAGCGGCAGGTGAATTATTTAAAGGACAGGAGTGATTTATTACCGTGCGAGAGACACTCTTAACCCTGATCAAACAGGATTAAGATTACAATACCCCGTCCCATTGCAGGTTGAATTTAGCTAGAAGGCAAATTCAGATTGGTCTTCCCTACCTGCCATGCCAGCAGAGGTTCTGGGTATTTCTAGGCAACTGCATCTATTTCAAGCACAAGTCCACTGATTAATTAATTTAAGGAATGATTTCAAGGAAAAGGTCGGACTTCTGAATACAGGGAAACCAAGTGCACTGAATTCCCCTGCTGTAGACTAGCCCCATCTTTCTGAGCGGCACATGGCAGATTTTATTAGAGGGGTAAAAGAGAGAGGAGGGGTGTGGTGTATCTACTCTGCCGTGGGCGATAATCAACATAACCAAAGATCAAAAGTTCAAATTATTGCATTGGAACACCAAGAGCACCATCCATGGCCTGTAACCCCCCCCTCTGTATCAGAACACAGCACTTTATAGCAGCCCTTCACTAGATAACACTACCATGGCTCACCCTTCTTTTATAGGACCCCTACGTTTAACGTTACAGGACTTTGCCATGAACGCCGTCACAATAAAACAGACTTGTATAACCATATGACCCTCCCTCAAAGCTGGAATATTCTACGTGTCATTCTGCATTTGGCTACTATGTGAGATTGTAAAAACCTGTTTAAGGACACTCGGTCAGTCCATGGACCAAGGTAAACACTTGGATTCTCACTGCCTCCTCTCCTTAATGCTCCTAAGTTGGTTAGCACTAATACCCCTGTCCTGGTGGTGTTTCCCACTGCTGGGCGATTTGTCTACAGTGCCAAGTCCCAGACTTTTAGTACATGTGACACGGGGGTAGTCGCTTCATTAAATTGGGCTTACCTGGTAAAGCGCACTTTGCAGATGGCGCATTCATAAGGTTTCTCTCCCGTGTGCGTTCGGATGTGGCGGGGTAGCTTGCCTGCTCCTTGAATGACCTTGGAGCATATGGGACATTTCTGGAAGGCCTTAGAGCGCATCTTCCTCTCGCCTCCTCCTCCTCCTCCTCCTCCTGCGCCCCCGCTGTCTCTCTCTCCCACCCCCCTCTCTCCTCCTCCTGCTCTGTCTTGGCTTGTTCTGCCCCGTGATAACCAGAGCGGCGGCACTCCCTGTGATACAGCAGCAGAAACCGGATCCTCGTGCTGCGTGCTGTTAAAATAATTCAAGTAAAATTCCATGTCTGGGTCGTCCCCATCTCCCTGTTCCTCCCCCGTAGTTGCGCGATCCTTCTGCCTCTCGATGGAGTCCATCATCTGCTGCAGGAGGGCACTTGCAGACCCCCTGTCCCTCGCCAACGCGTCCCTGCTCCCATCCTCCATCTCTGGCTCCTGCCCCAGCCTAGACTCAGGGGGGAGGTGAACGTGGCCGTTTTGGGATGGAGGGTAGTAAGCTGGCCCCAGGCCTGCTCCGTTCCCCTGCACCGCCTCCCCGTCCTCATCTTCCTCATCTTCCTCGTCGTCTTCTTCGTCTTGCTCCTGTGTGGGGGCATGGGCCAAGGCGAGGGCCAGGGGGGAGTAGTACTTGCCGAGGACAGCAGGAGCCCCGTTGCTGGGGGTCCCTCCGTTACCGTGGTTAAAGTGCAGATGTGTGGGCAGGTCCCTGAGCTCTGGCGTGCTGCAGCTGCTGCTCCAGTGGGCCCCTCTCAGGTAAAACTCCAGGAACTCCTGGGCCCGAACCCGGTTCCCCTGCTCCCTGCCTCCTCTGCCCTTCCCCTCCTCCTCTTCATCTTCATCTCTTCGCTCACTGCCCGCCTAGTCAAATATGACAGGGAACATAGAGAGTGAGTACAGGTGAAATATAAAGTCAGAAAAGTTCAAAGAAAAAAAAGTAAGGGGGATACAAAAGTACAGTACTTATTTAGAAAATAAATAACTACAAAATAAAAACAAGGGCACATTGCTGCTGCTTAAGGGTGGTGAATGTTTGCAGACCAACTGAATGACGAGCTATAGAGCTTCTGGTCGCTAAGGTGAAGGCTGACAACAAAAACCCTAAATCTACAACAGTAAATCTCATAAAAGGCAGATTCCTATCCGTGTATAGCGGATGCACAATCAGTGGTTTCTTTGAGCCATGAGCACATGCATGTGCATTTCACAGCTCCACTTGATAATGTTGAAGTGTAGCTGCGATATGCTGTGTCTGTAGTTGGCACTATAGCACGCTCTCCTTCCATTCACACTATTGTTTTAGAATGAGAAAGTGCTGATCCCAAAGGCTGTGGGCGTGTGTTTGGCACGGTGGGAGAGACTGATAAAGGCCATGATGTAAGCTTGACTATGCTGACTATTTAATGAAGGTGGTGGTATGATGAGCAGACACCTCATTCCCTAAGTGGCTGAAGCAAGAGAACTTAATGTTGAATGACAACACATCTGTGCTTTAAATTCATTTCAACCAAAAGCTTAAATTTGACTTTAACACATGTCACTTATGTTATATGTGTTCTAAAAGGTGTTGTACCGGCGGGGAGAGCACTTTGGAGTCCAGCAGGTGTGTACAGACGTCCTGGACCGGTGGGATTTCCAGGAGGCGTGCAGCAGCAAGGATGTCAGCAACACTGCTGTGACTGACTGTCAATGTCGCTGTGTAGGCAAAGTCCAGCAGCGCCCCCAGAGCCTCCGCCACCACAAAGTCGATGTTGTAGACGTTCTGTTGGTCAGCGGCGGCTCCTGAAGTGAAGAGCTTGTGGAAGTAGGAGCTGCAGGACGCCAGGACGGAGCGGTGAGCCGGGAACTCCAGTTCCTGGGAAACCAGGAGCACATCGCACAGCAGGCCGCTAAGCCGCTGCTTGTTCAGGTTGCCCAGGATGTCTGCGCTGTGCTCGGGGAAAGGGATCCCCACGGGGCCTTCCTCTGCCTCTCCTGCACCTCCTCTCCCTCCTCCACCAGCGCTGCTTGCTGTCCCTCTGAGCCGCCGTCCACCCCTCCCACCGGCTCCTGACGACATCTTCCACCAGCCTGCCGCCGAGCCGCCTAGCACAGCCCCCACCCGTGTATCCGTCCTGCCGTCTGTCCGTCTGCCTTTCTGCGGAGAGAAGAGTTGGATAGAGGGAGGGGATGGAGGGAGGAAGACACAAAGGAAATAATAAATCAGTTTATGACATTCTTCATAAAGAAAGAGAGAGAAGTATTGATTCATTGATTAACCACAGTCAGAAACACACACAGGAATGCTCCAGAACCAGTATGCACAACACTTTGATAGAGGAAAGATTTTACTTCAATGTGACGTTTATACAGAGAATACTGACCCAATTGAGTCCATCTGTTTAACTGTTCAAATGTAGTTGTCCAAAATAAAAAGATGTCGGCATATTAAAAAAAAATATCATACAAAATGTGTTTTGGACAAAATAAATATTTGTTCATTTAAACTATGAAACAAGCAATCATAAGAGTATTCATACCTCACCGTACAAAAACACTTCATTCCTACTCTACAGTATAACAACAACAAGTATTTCCACAATCAACAACTCTGGCTGCTCTCTGGAGCAACAGTCCCTTTGAAAACAAGCAGTCTCATTATGATTAGTATGAACCAATCAGAGCAGGATTATCCTGGGTGTAAGACCCCCACCTCATAAGTAATATTCTATAGATCTAAAAAGGGGCCCGTCCCTTAACATACACAAAGATGAGGAACCTAATGAGGTGATGATACAAAAGGAGTCCTACAGTAAGAAACAACAGTACGCAAAGGTAGTAGTATACATTGTCTTGCATAAACTATATCTTTCACTAAAGATTAGTGCACAGTCCATAACGTACAGACAAAATGCACATCAACAGACTTTGAAGAAGCTTAGCTAAATCAAAAAAGTCGGGTCATATGTGGTTGTGTGCTAATTAGTATTTTTACAAGCTCTAAAACAGATTTGGTAATGAGCATGTTGATGGATGTCATGTCAAAAGAAAATGCCACAACTGAGAAAAAGGAAGGGACCACAAAAGATTAAAAATGTCTTTAAAATCAAGGCAACAACTGGCAAACACAAAATACTGCAATAGATGACACCCTGCTATAACCTGAAAGTGTAGCATACCAGTATACATATAGGTGGTTGATGGATAATTAGTCTGCAACCTAATATGACCCATTTACATTTTGTAGAGGGCTTTACTTTTCTCTATCCTATATGTCATGCTAATGACATTCATCAAAGTAAACTGTGTACTGACTTTGTTAATACAAAAATTCAAATGATTGCCCCAAACATGTTATGTTTATTCATAAGTATCTTGCCAATAGAGAAACTTCTTCACCGATTTTCGCATTGACACGTTGACAATTAAGCTTTCGAAAAGTATTTTTTCCTGACCTGAAACTGAACTTCACAGTGAGAGGTTCCCAGATATGTTGAACACTACTTAGTGTTTTTTGGAAGGAAGATCTCAAGCAATATAGTAGCAAAAAACTGTAATTTCAAAACATTGCACTCACTTGACTCAAGAGTTTGGAGCAAGTGTCCCAAATAACTGGATCGAAGCCATACAGCCACACCACAGTGCCACACATGACAAATGCTTGGAACTGGGTTTAAAGCAAAGGTAATGGTACAACAGGTGTTTCCAGGTTCAACACGTTTTGTGAGAATATGTAAAAAATGTGTTTCTGGTTGCACTGAATAACTAGTAGCTTAGAATAACTTTGAATGCATCCGACCAGGAATGTTGCTTGCTAAAGAAACATGGCTGTGGTTGTTTTGTCACTCAATAAGGAACTAACACTCAGTTAAGAACTAACTGATTGACCCGTAAGTATTTAGGGTTGCAGTCATGACAAGATCTTGAATTATCTAAAAGATAATGACAGGTGTTTCCATGCTCCCTTTTCTATATGCTTTAGCAGAGGGTAGAAACATTAGACCATCCTATACCAAAAAAAAGAAAGGAAATGTCTTCCCGAAATTCTTTGCAGCAGCAAACTCTAAAGCGACGCACAATTTGGCCGCACAAGAAATCTGCTTTGGCTGTTTTATTGAACACTATGTACATGTGAACACAAATCCTTTCTTGGAATTGTGATTCTGTTTTGGACTTAACTTGTACTATACTAGTTTATCACTGTACTCATTTCCTATGCATTATATATATAGTCCTCACATTTTGATCAATTCCCCTTCATGTCTTTCCTTGACATTATCACGTCTCCGTCAAGACAAACATTTCTATGACTAGGCCACAGCCTAGTGGGGTGGATGAATGACTAGGTGGATATGTTTATGTATTATTTATATGTGTGTCTCCTTGTTTACACCCTTAATCTACGAGTGTGTGTGCAAGAAACCAAGTAAGAGGTTGTGGAGGACAGACAGGCAGAGGACGGTGGGGATCAGAGTGCATGCTGGGAGATGGACTGTGCAGCTTGTTCATTCTGTGTCAGTTGAGAGCTGGGGAGGTTAGCGAGAGAGGTGGAGGAAAAGAGAGGAGGGAGGGGGGTTTCAGCCAAACAAGCCATCCTTGATTTCTCTATTAACACAGTCACACATGCAAATACTGGAACATCAGGGAGACATCAATAACGCACCAAACACACACGCACATACACAGACATATAGGACATCCACCCCAGCTAACCTCCCTCCCCCACCACCCTCTCTCCATCTGCCAGGGAGACCCAGCAGGGGGTGAGACCGTGGAGGGGGGGGGGGGGGAGTGTGTTGCTCTCTGTAAAGGAAACCATTCAAATGGCATTCCTTCAGATCAGCCTTCCTCGCATGTTTGTACGTTACACCCCACTACCAAACCTGCCTAACCTGGATGACTCTCCCCTCTCCCATACTTGTTCACTTGTGTTCACCTGTTCTTTCCTCCCCTACGTTTTGTTCGACTCCTCCACACCTTGAGATCTGGATACGTCAGCTATGTCTGCCCACGAGTGAGAGCAACGGGAAGCCAGAGGCGGAAGATGTTTGTTCAAACTTATTATGATCCTCTAAATAGGTCAATGATTTCATTTCAGCAAACATAAGGATACAAATAAAGTTTGTATATTTAATATATTGAACATTGATTAGTGTTGAATTGTTACTGTGTATCTGCCTTAACTAAAATACGTTTTTGATACGCAGTTCACCACCAGGCATCTGCAAACACTGCCGATGTCTTCCCCAAAGCGCGGATGAAAACGGAATGTCAAACATGGCATGAGCACATTTTATTATCCGAGCGCTCATCTGAATATACAGAGAGGAGGGAGGCGAGGGCGAAGACAAAGAGAGATGGCACAGGAGGGAGAGAGGAAGAGAGAGCCGAGTGAGATGGAGCTGGAAGAAAGAGCAAGACAAAGGGCAATTGCAAGGCTACTGGTCACGTCCTTCAGAGGAAATAGATCTCTGTGAGCCCATCCAGACCCGAGCTACCTCTTTCCTCCAACACACACACAGCACCTGAACTAGACCTGGCTTTGCTGCAAGCTTGTGTAGTGAGTTATCCACACACACACACACACACACACACACACACACACACACACACACACACACACACACACACACACACACCTGTCCCCGAATGACCCCGCAAAGAGAACTAAGAAAGAGGAAACACAGAGGAACAAACCTGATCCTGACACCTCCTCATGGCTTGAAACATTCCTTATCATTAATTCATGCCTGTGGGTGACAAGGCCCCGCAACCCAGCACAAAGCAGCCCCGCAGCTGTCCGTGTACCTGGTGTTCCACTTCCAGGGATAGGGCTTCTCTCAATGCCCAGTCAGAGAGCACCCAGGCCTGCTTTGCAAGTCAAACAACTGCTTTAACAGAGGATCAACCCATCCCATCGCTGCCTCTCCAACTCCATGTCATCCGTAACGCCCCTATACCCCTTCTCGTGTATCTACACAAAGCAAGGAAAGATATCAAAATGACACTTCAGGAACTAAACGACCCACACCGGTCTCCTGTAAAGCAGTTTCCTTTTAGCTGTTGCTTCAAATGACTGTGCCGTGTGTGTTCTTACTAGCCAGTCACACCCACTTTGCTTACTCATGTTTGCAGTAGTTTTTTGTTTTGTTTTAACCATGTCCAATATGTATGATCTAAGGATTGCAGAATCTCTACTCTCAAAGTATCTCCGTCTTTGGCTGACACATACCAGTCATTCCTGAATACAAAGGAACAAACTGTTAACCCTGTGCAACCTCAGATGTTTCTAAGATAAACAACAAAGTAAAAACCTAAGCCTGATGGCCTTTTAAATATTTTTTACGGTTTTATCGACCTCATGAAAAGCAAAGAGCAAACATAGTTACAACCAGACTATTAACCAATACACAATTATTTCAGTTGGTACTGGACTTAATGTTTGCATTCTTGAGAACATATTGGGACAACTTGAGTAAATGTTTACGCAAATGTTCTCCTTTTATTCAGATCTTTCAGTTTCAAAAACGTTGGCATGCAAACAGGGATTGGCTGATAAAAAAGAACGCACAGTTAAAAACTACTGGGCAATCAAACTTCAAGCAAGAGCAATCAGAGCAAACATAACTGAATCATTGATCCCATAAATGTTAATGGAGTACAGGTTGTACCACCTTTAGCACTTAAAAACGGAGCAGTCGTTCACCTCGGGAAGTTACTAGCTTTTACAAGAGAATCGTTTTTAGGCTACTCCACATTTGACTCAGATGAGGACTTCATGCATGCAAGTGGAAGTATTAAGAGCAGCAAGTGCAAAATACGTAACTAAAAACATCTGAGAAATCTGGATATTAAAACAAGTTGAAGAATTGAGTCGGCCCTTTGACTATGCCTCCGTGAACGTTTCTTTATTGTTTGACTTTCTTGCCATGTCCTCATTTGACCAACTTTCTCAGCTCTATGGCAACAAACCTGCCAAGCCCGTCCTGCTGCAAGGGATTCACTTCAGTCAGATCAAGTGGGTTCAAGGTCGGACCAAGATAATACAAGATAATCGGAGTGGGGAGGGGGTGGCAGTTACTTGGAAGAGTGGATTTTGAGCAAGTGCCACAGCCAAGCGATTCACTGCTGCCGGTAGTGAAAGGAAACCTGATTGGTCCTTTTGGGAGTGAAGCAGGAAGAGGGCAAATGACTGATAAAACTGCAGAGGCTGGTCTCGGCCTGACAGCTTTCACTAGAAACTAACAAGGAAGCAAAGCCAATACAGAGACACAAAGCAGGTGAAAAGGTAGTGGGCGAGGCAGGGCGTTAAACTCTAAAGCTTAATCATAACTCCTGAGTGTATGGTGGCCTAGGAATCCGGCTCAGATGTCAATGATAAACCCAGAGAGATCTAGGTAATTAAGTTACCTGGTGTAACCTGCTTCAATAAGAGGGAAGGTAACCACCCACAACTCGGGCAAAGTTTAATGTGAGGAAGTAAGCAGGGGTTTTACGATGTTATAAAGGTCTATGTTTGCCATGCAAGATAGCAAGGGGCCTTGAAAAGTGAAAAGTGTAAGTGCTGAAAATGACTTGTGCAAACTTTCACGCTGTCGTAAATGTGTCTATTTTGTATTTTCTTTATTGTTTGTATCAGTTAGATCAACTGTATAGCCACAGGCTAGAACATAAAAGACTGTTGATTCAGTACAACAGTGTGAATTTATACATTAGACTTAACATTTCAAAATAGTATTTCACACAATAGAGAAATTAGATGATGATTAAACTCTTTTCATTTAGATATGTAGTTTGTAGTGTTGAATTTCAGTATACTGTAAATATCTAATATTTTCTTCTCCATATGACAAACAATATTAGAAACATAATATTCCTATATGATAATATGATATTATTATTAATGTAAGCAGTTCAATGCCACTACACTAAAATGTACGGCATAAACAATTACAGTACCGTTGAGAAAACATAAATTAACTAGTAGTATTATCAGCAAAAATAAATAATTTTAACTTGTTGGGGTGTTTACTGCATACAAAGAAATACAACTGTGTTTCGACATAACCAAGTCATTCAATCAAACATTGCATCACTTTTGCTTTTGATAAGTAAAGATTATTATATCAATACAAATAAAACTATACTGCTTTAACTACACTTTATAGTTTAATGCCAGGAAAATATTGTCTTTTGGACGATGTTTCATTCGTTATGATTCCTATAACGCATGTCTTGGGACAGTAGGCTTTCACAAGCTGCAGTGTAAGAAAACCACATCCATGGTCTGAGTTCCTTTTAGCTTGGGTAACATGCTCTGACGCTGCCATGCTGCCAACCAGGAAGTGGAACAAAATCACATGGCTTCAGACGGCGCTAACACAGAACTCCAGCGGACCCAGGATGCACCACTTTGTGCATGTGCAGCCCAACTGGGAAAGGAGGACTTCCTGTGAGTCTGTGACAGGCGTGTAACAGAACCCGCTCTGTTATCAGATGACCAGCTCTCTGCTTGCTCGCTCTCTCTGTCCCTACTGTCTGACCCCCTCTCTCTCTCTCTTCCTCTCATCTGTCGCTCTCATCTCATCATTGCTCCATCTCTGCACTGAACAGTACCCACAACATCGCCCACTTCCCCTTTCTTTTGCTGAGAAGGCAAAACATCTTAGACCCACCCTCCTGTGCCTCGCTCACGGTCCATCCAATGCAACCCACCCATCTATTCTCCTGTTTCATCCCAAACCAATTCACTAAATCAACATGCAGACAGTGTCCAATTGGTCACATATCGGCTTCCTGATCAGCCATCCTTTCGGCTTGATTAAAACAGGATCTGGTACATCTGCACTACAGTGTTTCATTTCAATATAACAATCAATTACACTTACTATACATACTCGTGTTTTGACAGTATACTCAAAATGAAAAAACCTTCAATGAACATATCAACAAAAGAAATGATCTAATTGTGTAAATCTAAATCTAAATGTGTAAAAATGTAAGTGTAGCTTCATCCCCACCCTGAACAACATGCCTCTTCCTCTCCCACTAATTTGATCAGGTTGTGTTGGCCTCTCCATAATAAATGTCCCAGAAGAGAACAGAAGAAGCCCCTTTACTCCCCCCTAGACTTCGGCACAACAACAGAAAAACAACAGAGAGGGGTCTGTCTGTCTGCCTCGCCGGGCTGGAAGCTGTGGTATACTGAGCAGCTGACCAGGGGAACTAAACATTAGGGGGAAGTGAAGCTGCATTCACCAAGGGAGAGGCAGATGAAAGTTTTCAAACTGTTTTAACATCAATGAGTATTGATAGAACAGTAGCCAACATATGATGTTGTTTGGAATGAAGTTCAAAACAACTCAAGTTTTAATTCCATCATATGGGCCACAATACCTAATTTTACCACATGAATAACTTTGAACAAATGCCATTACCGTTACATGTATTGCATTGTATACAGCCAACATTTCACTCTAGAATAAAGCCCCAAACTGCCACGGCGACATCACGCAACCTGTCTTCTCAGTCTGTCTGAACCTGCTCGTTTCAGGCCATAGTGGTGTAGGCACAAACATACAGGAATATCAAACTGTATTCAGCCTCACCGCCAAATTGATGGGTGGTGTCTTGGGCCTGCCCACAGCCACTGAAGTCCCCTGCAATTCCCCTGGAGTCTATTGTTGGTAACACAGACACACACGCATGCGTGCAATGCATGCACATTAGCACACACTCACACACACACACAAAAACATATGGCGTCCTAGTTTAACCTCTTGCTGGAATTTACTTGAATGAACTATAGTTTTCTTCCATAGTAGTACCTAGGAAGTGGTTTAGAGAGTAGCATCAGGAAAACATTTACTGTAATTAATATAATCTGTGACATTGAAATGAATAAAAAATGCCATCAACCTTGCCTGCTGCCTGCTTCTTAGAAGCATTCCAAACACTTTCCCAGCACTTGGGCGTCTTCATGTACCGTGCTCTTCTTGTACCCTCTCCGCGCCCACACGTATAAAAAACGGGTTCAACAAGTATGCAAAGCCAAAAAAGATGCATCTGGTTATTGAGCAAAGACAGTCAGGGTTACTGTGAAGTCTTTAAACCACGAGCCACAAGATAGCAGGACACGGCAGGCGACATTAGAATCAACAAGATGTTGGCAAGGAGGGGGGTGAGTAGACTGGGAAAAAAGATGTCATGAGATTGACCATTGTGAAAGTGGCAGGGAAAAATGTAAATCAATCATCGAGTTGTCCAGCAGAGATCCCAAAGTTACTTAAGCTTAAGTTTTGAATTATAATGCTCCATAGATTTGGCATGAGTGAATTTAGTCAAAGTCAGTTGTCACAAGATGTGGTGCATGTTCTTCCCTTCAATAAGAAGAGGTGTCACTTACTGTGGTTTCTCAAAAAACTATTACTCAACACCAACCTGTACTATGTCAGTAATAAACACGGTCTCTCTGCCACATTAGCAAACATCTGATGCAATGTTTTGGGGTGAAATTACTCTACCACCACATAAACAGCCGTACAGGATGCGTAACTGTCAATGAGCATCTTTTTAAAGATGGAAGCACTAGTGCCATTTAATCACAACACTAGATACAAACATTTAAGGATATTCTGCCATAACAGGATGGAAACAACACTTATAGGCACAATGAATACCCCTAGTTATGAAGTTATTCTGATGTGGATGAAAACTTTATGACAAAAACTATTTCTATGAGCAGTATTCTGTGTCGCACCTTACACTCAGCACTGACCTATTTGCCGATCCCTCCTTTATCTGCAAGTGGGTCAAGAACTCTGAACTCTATCAAGCCCCATCTCTCTCACTCTCTTTCACACACAACACACTATGGTATTTATTTCCTCTGCTCACTTCTCTTCTCCTCTCAGTCACAGTCCAAAGATACAGTGTGTGTGTGTGTGTGTGTGTGTGTGTGTGTGTGTGTGTGTGTGTGTGTGTGTGTGTGTGTGTGTGTGTGTGTGTGGATGTCTTTGGAGTGCTTACCAAATAGGCATAAAATGTTTCCTGCAGCCTATCTGCCTCCCCTGCCTGCTGGCCAGCTCTGCTGCCTCCGTCTCTGGGCAGGGCTGGAGCTTTACCAGACAGGAAACTTGCAAGTGGCCCTAGTCATACAGGCAAGCCCTTGCCTGATCCTACACTAACAGACACCTAACTCCCCCCCCCAGTCCCCCGCCCCGAAAGCACCACCACCACCACTTCAGCCCCCCTTCATTTTCAGCCCACAACTCGGCACTGCTGCATCCCTTGCTCTCATTGGCTTGACAGCTGCTCACTCACCACACCTCCTTGTCGGGATAGGCTGGCAGCTGTTCTCTTTCCTGGATGGCCATGGGCAAGGCACTCTGGGATATAGAGTTCTGAAATCTCATTCGCCCTGCTTTACAGCCCCTGCTGTGGACTACGAGTCCCAGCACTCTCTGCCCCCTCCACCCCCACTATCTCCAAGCCTGCTCTAACGTAAGCACTCAGGGCTGAATTATACACTACAGTATGTTGCTAGCAGGCTGCCAGGTATTAAAGTACAGACCAGCCATCAAACGGGGCCGAGCTTCGTATGAAAAAAAATAAAATTCAACTGTCAGAGCAGCAACATCAGAGGTGGATTCCGTTATTGACTCACACTCTAGTGACATTTCAAAACTGCTGACCTAAATGATGACTTATTCCTATTACAAACAGCCTAATGCCACTACAACATGCCCTGCGCACACAGCACACAACTTGTCCAGCACTGAGCATTTCAATCGCCACTGTCCCGAAAAGTTGTTGTTATGGCTTATACCTTGTCCAATACAATTATTTTTTGTTTCTCCTAACCCTCGTCCAGTACCCCCCACCTTCTCTCTCTCTCTTTCTCTCTCTCTCGAGCCCCCATCCCCCCCTTCCCCCTCCTCCTCCTCTAAGTGCTTCCACCTGCCTGAAAAGTTAATGCCTTGAACACATCCTATAAACTTTATCTGTAGATTCCCCAGAGGTAAAGAGCAATACAGAGGAAGTACTTTAGCAGGATTTAAAAAAAGAGGAACCTTGACTAGGGACTACTGCTGCGACCCACCTCTCCTCTCCGGCCAACCCCCCCACCCTGCTCTCCTTTCTGTCCCCCTCCCTCATTCCTCCCTCTCTCCTCTCCTCCTCTGCCCTGCTCTCCCCTGGCCGCCAGGCCCGGGGCAGACAGCACAGGGATGGCAGGGTGTCTTTAGCTCACCTGCGATGGCCGTGGTGAAGCTTGTTGTGGGTTAGCTCAGCCCTCTCCTCTCCTCCTCTCCCTCTCACTGTTGTGCAGCTTAAAGCCCCGTATGCGCTAACCAAGCAGCAGCAGATCAACTCAATTCCCTTCCTGGTTTCTGGAGGGCAAAGAGGTCCCTCCCTTTCTCTCTCTCTCTCACTCACTCTCACTCCCTCTCTCTTAAAGAAACAGCATTCCCCCTCCGACTCCTCTCCCTCCTCCCTATGTAAAGTAAAAGTAAAGTGGAAATGTATTTGCGCTCAGAAGTGGACAGTTGTCCAAGTCATAAACTCAACCAGAGATGACACAAATCTTTAACCCATGCCTTCCCTCTCTGTGGTTTTACAGTGAATGTAAGCCACTGTGTGCATCTTTGGACACTCCATTTTTTGTTTAACAGTTGTAGCTTGTGTCAATTATTCTCAACCGTTTCATCTCTCACTGCTCCTTTCCTTTTCAATGCGAGTAGAGTCGCACCCACCCATCTTATTGCCTGAGGTCATGGTGTCCCACCCCAAAAGCAAGCCATGGCACATTCCAGCACATACAGTAGGGGCTGCCAGCACCCCCTTCATGTACTTTCTGGCTCAGCCTGGTCTCTGTACACAATACCTGCCAAGCTTGAACAGGTGAGGCATCAGAGAAGACATTAATTAGTCGAAAAATGACTTATTCACTATGGGAAATCGTTCCCATGGAAAAATATACAGCAACTGCACTTGATGTTGCGCCACTTTCAACCACCCACCCCCACAGTAAGTGCAAGCCAGCTATTGTACCATGGAGTGGGATTGAGCACAAGATGTATTCAATTGATTCTGTTGCACATGAAACCATCCCAACACACCTCTGAAAACACAGTCTGTAGGTCATTTAATGCACACAATTACTATATAAAACGTACTTTTTACAATGATAATGTGTTTGAACTGTTTTTCCTTGGCTTCAGTCTCAGAGGGGACAGGCTCAGCACAGATAACCATGCAGGGGTGACAGGGGCTTTTGGAAGGGTGAGGTAGTGACACACCCTCTGCCTAGAGGGCACTATAGTCACTGTCTCTCCTTAAGCACAGGGAGTCACAGCTTTCAAACGTCAGAGACGCACATAAATTGCTGTATTTGGACGTTTGGTGCCATCACTTGCTATAATTTGCAAAGCTAAGTGAAGAGGATGGAATTGGATAAGTTACATCCTAAGTCACATGAAGACAGCAGGACATACACTTCGACATAAAAACACGATATTTACAAAAGTTGCCCTCTATTCAGTTTTGGCCTAGCTACCAATACTCAAAATTAGTTTAGCCTATTGGAGTCTAAAATGATGCCAGACATTTGTATCTTTCAGTCAAATACAAACGGCTCCTGTTTAAATCCAGACACTCCACGTCAAACTTGTGTTTGACCTTACTGTCTGAATGATTGTTTTGAATAAAACTAGCTAAAAGAAAGAGGCCGTTAACAAGAATCCCCATATTCAGATCACTGTTTGTCTGATGACTGAAACAGTTATTAGTTAGTGGTGGAAAGTAACGAAGTACATTTATTATACTTTACTTGAGTATTTTCAATCTTCAATTACAAAACAATAACGAGGGAAATTGTTGTTAACCACATTTAGCTGATAACTTTATTTTCTAGTATTTTTACATGTTCAGATTGAAAATACAAAATATAGCATTACAGTACAAGTAGCTATAAGCTAACGTAAGCTTAACTTTTCCATGGAGCCATTCTATGATAAACTGAGTTGGCGCCAAAGAAAAAAACGATACATATTTTTAAATATATATAATACATGTAATGGAAACAGAAACATTAAAAGCATTAGTTACCTTAAGAAAGTCAGAAATGGTCATCCTCCGTCCTTCAGACTTTACTCAAAGCTAGCTAACTGGTACTAGCAGTAAACTTAGCTAACGGGTAAAGATGCTGCTATGGTTACCTGGCTGCACTTTGCACGCTGATACCTCGAACCGATTCGATTTTTAGCCAATCAGAAACGAGATCACATTTTAGATGAATACAATCAAAGTAAATTAATCTGAATATACAAATGTGACAATTAAGCAATTAATATATTATCTATAATAACATTTGCTGTTAAAACCTTCTTATGACTCAAGAGCAAAGCTGTAGTAGAGAAACGTTTTTATTTTAATGCATCGGAATGTAGCCCCCAATAAAATGACTCAAAAAGTGCTGAAAAAAAGGACATGACCCCTTTTGTGGATACAGTCCTGACAACCATCAGTTATTTTTATCAAAATCATGAATCAAGCTAAATATTACAGAATAACACATCCATATGGTGACATTAAAAATATAGTTAGCAAATGTGTAACTGTATTATATGTGTTTCTTCATGGTTATCTGTGCAGTAATTATTGCTTGTTTTAGAGTTACAATTCCTGGTAAATCTATCAGACTTAGCTACATGGAAATGACTGAGTGAATATAAATAGCTGTCATAAATGAAAAACAACTTACAGTACATTCACAAATAAGTTTTATTTTAATCTTTTTTTATACATTATAACCATATCCAACACGTTTTTATATTATAATAAAATGACTTCTCCTTTGTCATTTACATAAATCCAAATGTTGCATATTAAGACTGCAACATAGTACTCCTTTATTGTGTATAGCTTTGTACACATACAAGTGACAATGCATTCATTTTTGCTCTGAACAAATGCAAATGTTTGGGGAAGTAAGAAAGGGCAGCCATAAGCAGAGAGAATACAAGTGCTCGAGCAAAACGGCAGGCTAGCAAGTAACACCACCACCATGTGACCAACACTGACCTGGGTTAAAGTGTTCAGTCAAACCCTCTGTAGTACTGGAAACATCTGAAGTTCCATTTAAACTTTGGGTTTTATTTTCACCCCAATTCATTTGGTCAAATCACAGGGAAAAGCTTTTCAAATGTATTTCATCGCACATCTTTTCCCAAAAGCATGCCTCAAGGCTGGAGTAAGAGCGCCACACGTAGCAGTAAAGTCAAAACATAACCAAATACACTTCGGGGGAAAGTACAGACCCAACATCAAAGAAAAAAAAAAAGTCAGAATCCATCAACATGATTGAAATTGCAGAGAATCAGGCTTTTGATAAAACCACCAGATAATCAACCGCTATCATGATCTTGGGAAATCAAATACACATACGGTATTAGAAAAATAACAAACCATGCTATATTATCCCATGAATACATTTTGTTTTCTCAATGTCAATAACGACATTATCGCATATGTCAGGCCACCACAGCATAAAGCCTCCTCCGGCGTGAGAGTCAGTGTGGGAGGGGCATGTATGTTGAGGAAACAATCAGAGTGTAGTTCACTGAAGGAAACAAATCAAAACATTCAAAGGCCACTGATATGTTCTTGAATGTGCATACGCAAAAAAAAAAAAAACTGATCAGCCATTGAAAAACTTTTAGTCATGAATTCTCTCTTTGGTTTGTGATAGTTTTCACAAAGGGATCTTTTGAGTCAACAGTCATTTAGTGAAAAGTGAAAATGACTGTATGCGTCGATTTGTCCTGCACTCTCCAACACATTTTATTTAATACAAATTGGTAATCGCAAGGTCTCTGAAGAGAACGTTTTTAGTATATAGAAGTTTGACAAAGGGAATTTAAATCAGCATAGCAGCATTTACGTTCAATAAAACGAATTAAGAATTTGCAAGTAGGTGACATGTTTGGATTTCTTTGTTTTGAAATCTCTACAACAGGATATTTATTAAAATACAACTCCCATAAGCCACCAACTGTTGCCATAGAAAATATTAATACAGAATATTCAACAATACAAAATAAGTTTGTCAATCGATGCAAATTCAGATGACACAATGGCA